CCTTGCGATTAAATTACACTTGAAGAGCTAATTAATTGTGGTGATGTGGAGAATTAGATACAAAGGTATGTATATTTAAAGTGACGTTTACTTCGATTTATACATTTGTTACATGTTTTACATTCCCGTTGCAAAATTGTAAGAGTTGTTACGCGATATTTCGTTATGTAGTCATTCTCGAAGGATATATAATCTGACATTATTAACACAGCGCTAACATTCGTTCTTTAACGTGGCAATAACCACTAGTCGCGACAGTTACAACAAAAATTGACGCTCCTCCGGCGATGAATGTACTCTTCCCTATCGAATTTAACACCTGTTAATTTATCGCTCGAACTTTCCAATCATAAAAGTTGCAATAAACTTGCAATAAGATGACATAACCGGGAGAAGAGACGAGTTTTATTAATTAAAGCGAATACAAGATTAATTATCGTGACAAAATCATAATTCTTTAATTTTTTTATTTAAATATTTCAGACGGTAAATGTTGTAAGTGTACCAAAAATAAAAAATGTTTTTTCCTTTTGAAGATAAAATATAAATTATCTGCCAACTAAATTGTGATTGAAGAAAATGGAAGCCAGACAAAATTTTTACCATTTATTTTCCTGAGTCTGTGAAATTGGCAAACATTGAAACCCCATAACGTTCAAGCGATAAATGGCGTAAGTGTCAAAATTAACAGAAATGAATTTTTGTTTTCACTGTATATCTCTACTTGTAAGCACTTATACCGTTTACTGTTTCAATTCCACGATCTACTCAGCGTTGAAATTACGTTATAAGGTGTGTTATAAAATATGGCCTGCCATTGTCATATAATATCTATAAAATTTTGCTAAATTACCATAACATTTCTTGTCGAATTAATGTCCAACGTCTCGGATAATGATAATGCCCAATACCAATGACTTCATAGTTCACACTAAATCTGGCGTGCAATGCAACCATCGATCCTGCCGAGCAAAATCCAACACCCACCCACATGAGGTCTCTAATTGAAATCTCTCAGATGATGCTTGGAGAAAAGAACGCGTGGAATTCAGACGCTAGACGCTCATCCTTCTCATCAAGGCTGTATTACGGCATACAGAGGGAGCACGGACAGGTGGATATATGAAGGCACTAAACTTCAAACACGAGAACATTATCAGGGCACAAAAGAGCGGGGCGGTGGTTCAATAGCAGTCGTTTGAGAATATGAAAGTTGTTTGCGGTAGATGTCAATTGCCCCATCTGAGACCAACTATCATTGATCTTCGCTTTGTGGTTTCTCTGCTTCTATTTGCTATGCTTTTTGACATTGGTCAGTGGTCACGTCGACCAACAGTCGATCTTGTTCCCATCATGAACACTGTGGTAAACTTTAAACTTCGATTGACAAATATATAATAGCTCACCCGGATAATTATATGAAATATTCTAAAATTTCATTAGCACTGCAATCAGGTGTTACTACCTGATATGTTGAAACATATCTGGAAATGTACTGACAGAGTAATTACAGGATGTAGTTTTCTGATTGTTTTCATATTTAATTAATATAAAAGAAGTGTTTCTTGTTACAGTGTTAATAAAATTTTAAAATATTATATATGTATAAGTTTTGTTCGCTAAAATACGTTTGCTCAAATACTTTCGTGAACTATTGTAATCTGTTGAATGGTACTGTCTTGGATTAGTTAGTTTGATTGCACATTCTACAGGGTACCATCGGTTGTAAGTTGTACTAAACTTGCGATATTAGTATTCAAAGGAATTGAAATTCAGGCAAGAACTTGCGGAAACAGGGACTGGAAACCTCTGTAGGCGTGGGAGCGGAAAATGCAACCACGATTCACTACGCAAGAGTCACCAGATAAGAAATACAAACAGTTGAAACGGACAATGAGTGCAAAAAAATTGTTCCCTGGGAGCAAATGTCAGTTCTATGAAAGATCACCTGATTATCGCTTCCAGCGAGGCATTGTTCGTCATTGGTTATAAATGTCAGCTTCGACAGATTAGTCGTCGATGATAGATCTCTTGATAAATCGTGATTATGGTCGAGTGGTAGCATGGAAAAAGGAATTCTGTCAAACCGTAGCATAATGAAAGATGCTAATTCGAAGGAATCGAAGTCTTCTGATAGACTAAATCACGTTCGCGTCTCACGTCTCAGAGGCAAGTCACATAATCAATTCATCATTTTAACGTCACAGAACGAATCGAGCGATTGGCAAACGATGAATTAATCAATTTTCGTAATTGTTCGTAATTCTTGTGGCAATCATGGTGGCTTTTGCGTCATATTGACGATGCAGATCTTGGAAAAATCATTTGTCGAATAAGTTCATAGCTCTCACGAAACTGTGACCGAAGTACAAACACATTGGCAACTCAGTGAATGTTAAGTCGGTAAACTGCGGATGTTTATGCAAATTCCTATTTTTATGAATTCAGCCGCAGGAATGAAATCTAAGAAGAGATTCGTTTCACCCATTAAAGATCGTAACGAGTACTACCTTTCAGATATCTCATCTATCTTTGCATATCATGTGCATTCTGTGCATGTTTTAAATTTCCTATAAATGCAAAAATATGTAACATTTATTAGTAACTTCTTATTCTACGCAACAAAATACAAATCTAGAACTTTTTATCGCATTCCGACGCGTTACGCACTTCCTCAGTTTATTAGCCTATTAAACGATACCACGAATATTATGCGATAGGTTACGACCAATTTTACGTTTGTTACTGTATGCTACTGTTTACCAAACACGTTTTCGCAAGGTAGTATATTTTTATTTAATTTAAGTTATGGTTGAAAGTTCTGATACAGCTGATACTTCTCAAGTTCGTGAAGACTTTTAAAAGGAAAATTGTGAAATCAATCATGACTGTATAACGTTATGAAACGGTCCTGGTCAAACTATTTTTTTCGTCGTTCACTATGTATTCAAAAATTTTTTCACGGAATTATTCTGTATAGCTTAATGAAGTTGTTTGAATGATTAATAAATGACGATAGGTTAGAGTTCCACGGCCTTGTTGCATTCGTGAAAAGAAATATCGAAGGAAATCACGTTTCTACGCAAGGATGGCATTAATTAGGAAAATCTGCGGCTACATAATAGGCGAGAGATTGATATATGTTGGTTTTCTGCCCCGACTGACGCCGACAAGTGAATTTTACTGACCAACGCGTCATATCGACGCATCACTGAGCTAGAAACCTGTACAGATAGCAATCAGTCTTTCAGTCGATGAGCGAATTTCAATTGAGCGATTCAACCAGGTATTCCTCGGGATAATTAATTTCTAAATCAATGACGCGGGTAATAGTCTAATGTTCACGGCAATTTCACGCTTCTAACTCTTTGATCGATGTATTCAACTGTTCGCTTTTTTTAACCAAGTAAAAAAGCTTCAAATACGTTAAACGTGTTAAGATATAATTAAAAGATGAATCTTTCATCTATTGAAACTCTTGAGCAACTGTTACATCTATATCTTAAAGTGACGCGTATACATACGGTCACTAGTGACAGACCATAATTTAACATCGAATTGAAGAAGAAACCATAAAAGAAATTACGTCATCGATGCGATGAAGTTTCTAATGACGTACGAATATTTTGATGGCACGGTATCTTTTTTTTATGACAAAATTACACTGTTGACCTTTCGCGGCTAAAAATTTCTATATTACGTGACCGGAGAGCTGCCTTTACCTAAACGCATAGTAAATAGGAGATACGTATATGGGTATTAATACAATCGATTTGAATAATCGTAGCTTGGAGAAAATTATAATTCGAACAGCTGTATAATTTGCGTGGGAGAAATATTTTTTTCCTGAATTTTCGTCGGACATTTTTCTTGTTATAACAATTAATTTCCAAATACTCAAAGACTTAAAAAAATTGTTACGAAAAATATAAAAATATAACAAAATAGAGTTACATTTTTCTAATTAAAATTTTACAGAAATTTTATTCGCAATAACATTATTTTACTCTCAAACGTATCGCAATCACAAATTCCATTTACTTCAAGAAACTTCATCTTACTTAAGATTCTTGTGACACGTCGTAACCTCATTCTTTCGAAAACGATTTTTCTCCATGCTCCGGGCTACGACGCTATCGATGATGTTCAATGTTTGAGATTGACGGTTGGGAAACGGAGGCTCCAGAAAGGTGGATTTCAAGTTAAGGAACAATGATAACCTTTGATATTTCGCGCGCTAACAGCTGGCTGATGCTTGTATCTCGGTATTAATTCTTGCGAGGCTGTGGATGCGACCGTACATGTAAATACCAAGCAGTAAGCTCACCAGTGGAAACGATGTTTTGCAAAAACGAAAGTGAAGTCGGGGCACAACTCGAAAATTCCACAATGAAAATGTTTTTCGGGACGTTTGGGGCACAATGGGCCCTTTACACGTTGAATAAAAGCTCAAAGCGATTTTCTCTAAGAAAGAATTGCCTCATCGAGACGAGCAATGATTTTTTGGGTTCCAAGAACGACTTGGACTGAGGAGAAATCTTTAGGCGGGATGAACTTTCTATGGAGCAACGATAATTCGTTGTTACATACGAAGAATACTTAGAATTTTAATACAACTATATCTCCATAAGGAATTCAACAAAAATTCGATCACAACGGAGTAACCTTAATACTGTGAATTTTTCAAAACTATTCTCCGGAACACAACTAGTATCGAAGCAAACACACGATGATTTTCTATTTCACCCTTCGTTCTCAACGAGAACGCACCAACAACAATTAGCGTGAAATCATCGGAAAAAACACTTTCACCACAGATACTATATATATTTTTCAAATATGTATTAATTTTCCAATCGTTCCACACAATCCTACGCGGTCTATCGTGTCCATCGTATCGTAATGACGTCTCGTTCCCTCTCGTTCACCCTGAACCCGTCTCGCGTCCGCAATCAACCCCCACATTCGAGTCACTTGGTCCGTCGCCGCACTTTACTTACCATCTTTCGTGGTCGCGATCTTATATTTTTTGGCCTTTCTGAACCAAAAAACTGGTCACCGTGCGCAATGGGACACACTCAACACGGACACATGTCTCGCGGGTGCGCTTGGTGGTCCCGAGAGAGGTGACTTCTTCGTCTCGAGGAACGTGGAGAGCATTTATAGGATTCACCCGATTGACTGGTGGGGGTAAAACGTTCGGTCCATGCGATTATTGCGAACCGACGTCCACGGGAGGATGCTGTAACTCTTCGTTTTGTTCGTGAGACGAGGTGAATAGAGTGGAAAGAGAAAGAAAGACCAACGGCCGGCAGCTAGAGCGACTGAAATGTGTAGAGGGAGGAAAGGAGAGAAAGAGAGACAGAGAAGGAGAAAGTGAGAGTCGTTGGCTAGCAAGAAGGACGGGACGATGTACAACGTCGTCTGAAAAGGTCCGACGTCGCGTTTGACTATCCTCGTGGATGTCTAACGTGCGCCGATACCGAAGGACATTCGTCTTGAATGTTCACCATGCTTTGCGGCAACGGCTACATATTTCGATGAAGAAGTAAATCAGCGATTAGCAGATTCGACATCGTGGTTTCCTTTGTAGCGCACACGTGATGATTAAAGGGAGATCGATCGATGCGGTCACAAACTCTGTTCTGATTACGGGATGAGGTAATTTCACTCTCGCAGGCTCACGATCGAAGGACATTCACGTTCGTTCGTTACACTGGCAATGGTGGGAGTCACCGTCATCTGAGATTATGTTACTGCTACACCCACCCATTAAAATGAAATTTATTGTTTAACGGGCGAACGGTGTACTTCTATTAAGTAGACTTACGCATAAGATACTTGTGGATCAGATTTTTGCTTGATCAAGGGTTTCGCATCGAACGTATTCATATTTGATTAAATTCTCTTAATTTAAATGCGGTATAATATGCAAAACATCTAATTATATTATTACTATCTTCACTCGAAATATTCGTCAAGATTTCACCGACCACTGATATTTTATGATTACTTACTCTTTTATACTTTTGAGGTCTTTCTAGAATTTTTCTCAAAAAAGTTGTAAAAACGAATCTCGTTAAAACGACCGTAGAAAGTAGACACGTAATATATCGTAATCACATAATACACCACCTAGAAACTGCGTAACACTTTGTAATTAAGTTGTTCGCGGACAGCGCGGTCGAACAGTGAAGAGACTTCATCCCCCCGCTCGTTCTCGCCCAATTATTTAGCGTCGACTTCCACGGTTACAGAATGTCTACCGTCGCATACTATCTGAATAATTGAGGGTAATTAAGTTATCTCTTCAAGAGAATGAAAGACTCTGTTCTGGTGTAGAGGGTGTACGTAAGTGCTGCCATAATTATGCTGTAATAAATCGACGAGACAGCATTTTTCCTCGTTCGCTTTCTGCAATCCTGGAATCAGATCCGGGTTTGTCAATAATTGATCTAATCTTAGTACTAAATAGGAATAGAAAATAATATTGTAAAAGATGTGGCGTATTCTCAAAAAGGCAAAAGTACACGAAAGTTACTATATTTACTTTCTCAACTCGACAACTTGTTATTTAGATCCATTATATCCTCTACGAAGTATTGGTTAAAATTCCACGAAACTGCCGTGTAAAATAGACGATTATAAGAAAATCTATATTACGCAAGGTCTCACTCGTATCACTGTCATCGAGATTCATGTAGATTCTCAAGCAGGTGAAGAACCTCGGACACAATGATGCTCGACGATCGACCATAATCATCGTGAACGCTACGTGAGTTCACCGTCCCTGGTGATCCGTATGCTCGTATATATTTGCACCTGCATTACCGATGTCGCCATTCCCTGTTACCGTAACCAAGATGTTCGTCCGACAAATAATACAATAAGCGCTCGAAAACCGGTAATTGGTCGTAACTACATCTGAGAGTTCTAATTCATTCGAATTGTATGAAATGCATGGCTTATTTAAACCATTTAGAACGAATGTTAATTACTTACAGGCAAAAGAGTTAATTCCTTGAAATTGTTTATTTATTTCGTTAAACTGGGTTACTTTTTCCTTAAATTGCATTAAGAACTGGCGAGTAGATAAGTGTATGTAAATCCATAGCGACTAATATATATTTATATAATGATGCCGAGAATGCGAAATTATTGATTGAAATCGCCACTTCAGTTTCACTATCCAGTTTCTATTAGGCAACTGTCCATTCGACGCTATCACGTTCTTTACTCATAATGACTGATTATAAAACGTTGTACGTGAAAGATTCCCTTTGATGAAACCTTGAGAGAATCTGAAAATACGAGTCACTCTTCGCTCAATAGATGTAACGATCATAGATCTGATCGATCTAACACTCGATAACGAATCGAAGGTTGGATAAACCGTGATATTTGACCCTACTGCAATCGTTGATCAATCTTGATTCTTCAACTTCTTCTTGAAAGCAAAAGCAGAAATTGGAACGATATAATGAATTCTTTCATATTATCTATGTATACACGTACATAACGTTACGAATTATACAAATTGTTGAAGTAAACGTGCTTTCGTCGGATCTTTTTGTATAATAGCACATCTTCCGCAACATGCTCTTAAATCTTCAGCAAAAATTCTTTTCTGACTTCGACTTCATGATTTCTCTCTTCAAGTTGGAGTCGTAAACTGAACTTTAGATTAAATTACTAACAACAACAGTAATCACCATAAACGTTTTCACTGTTATTAACCATATTTCTTCGTAGTTGCGCCAACCTATTGCACAAATAACGGCTGAATTCCTACGATTATAACAATAAAGAATTAGAACAAAGAGGGACGCGTTTTAAGTAGTACAAATCGACTTTGAACCCTCGTGCTCTTATTATCGAAATTACTCTACCGTGATCATTCTTTTCGAATTATTCTTCGAGAGAAGATCGGTATGAGAATTGCTGTGCATTAAAGAAATCATGGATAATCAATCAACAAATAGTTTGTCTTTGCATAAGGAAGCAATAGTAACAAAGGAGGCCCTGCAAATTATAATTACCCTTTCAGACATTAATATTGAGGTCGTATCCTGATTTCCACGCATGAATGAAGTTCCTTTCTTCATATAAACCTATCCTTTCTCTTACTATTATTTACTTTTCACCTGAATGAAGAAGTTACATTGACCATAGAAAAGGTCGTAATCAAGGCTCATTCGATCTTGGATCGTTTCCTTATGTCGGATAAAATAGTTACAGTCAATGCTTATATTTTCTGGACTGAATCATGGCCCGTTAAAGTAAATTAACCGTTCAAATTCAAGGCTAGATCGGATTACGCATCGATTTTTGAGAAACATACATTATGGTCCAAGTTTCTGTTTAATATTTTAGATGAAATTTTTATTTCTTAACAGGTTATATGATATCCAGTTTATAAGCACTTTTTCCCTGGTATTACGTGTGTAACATGATTTATAGCGTGTCTATAACCTGAGTTATGAGCAATGATGGAGAACTACACGAAGGGGAAATATTTCTTGAAAGAATTTCTTTTTAAGACGCAATGCAATTTAAAACTATAGGATACAGTGTTAACGTAGAATTACTAATTCAATAAAGAAATGATAAGGAATAAAAAAGAAATTAGTTAAATTAGTAAACATGCCAATTATTAAAATTATATAACTATTTGTAGAATCGATAAGGAAATTAATTAATAATTAATAATCATAGAAGAACGCTTGTAATCATCCAAATCCCTAGAGACCAAAACGCGACAGCTATATCAATGCTATATTGTATTTATTATAACTGAGTCGACACAACATATACGTCAGTAGCAAGGAATGTGTTAAAAAATTTACAAAAGATACGATGCGATACGAAAAGATAACCCTACAACTTTTATTATAACAATTTAGTATATCATTGGTGAATCTCCAATATATCAAGGCAAACCTGACGTGTAAGTGACGTAAGTGATTACTTACAGTCGATTTCATAAGGTATATATAGCCACACGAAATAAAAAGATTATATAACATTTTTTTCACTTTTTATTTTTCATCCTTGTTTCTTTCTTCGATATGTATAATCGTAAATTTATCATTAGATTTCTTTCCTTCCTCCATCATCTTGTATTCGTCTTATTTGAATGAACGCTAACAATTTGATACTTTGGCATTTAGGATACATTAAAAATCTTGGATTCTTAGCTCGGATTTCGTTTCGTTATTTTAAGATACCGCGTTCCGGATACAGAGGCGACAACCTCGAAGTCGTCATCTCATTACGATTTCACAAATGCAAAACACCATAAATTCACAGTTTTTTCTTGATATATGTGTTTTTCATATACTAACGATCAGTCAATTTTTTTCATTGTAGAGTAGATCATTTTAGGATAAAAGGAAGATTGTTAACCTTAAGTATGAACAAATATATTGGAGTCAAAATTATTTTGTTTTAAGATCAATGACAAATAATATAGATATATGTATATGTTATGTTATACATATAATACATACATAATACATACATACATAAATTATATATATATATATGAATAATAAAGATAAATGTATATATTTTTAAGCGTGTTCTATAAGGACGTAAATTGTTACTAATGAATGTTATATGTTGATGTTAAAGTCACACTTATTGCGGTTTGCTCGCAGCAAAGTAAAAGTGTGGACGACCTGAAACATCGTGAATGACCTCTGCACCTGCACATACGGATCACCGCAGATGCATTCCCTCTTAATCGCGCGGATGTTGCCCAATTAAACAGAAATACGCATAGAAACAGGGCTTCAGCAACATGCTGCTTGTAAACTTCTTCCATGCTGAATTATTTCCAAATCTTCCATCATTATAATTAAACCCGTATTTATTAGCTGCAATACTTTTTGCTATTATTAGGCGAGATTCTTTGATAAAAGCAGCTAAATAATGTTTAACATCTTTTAGAAGAATTCTATACATTCGTTGACGTATAGTCGGTAATATAAAGATTTTTAGATAGGACTAGAAACACCATCTAGGAAATAATGTTTAATTAAACGTGGGCAACGGTATTTCGACAACTTTGAAGATGTTCGATAAGCTAATAAAATATTCATATTATGCAATTCGTCCCTAACGATTTGTGAATCTTGGAAATTAGGAAATCCAACGAATTAGAAACTTGGACAACGTTCATTCAACACACACAATCATAAAAAAATCGAACAGCAGTAGTTTTTATATTGATACATTTTTTGCTTGCCTTGCTAAATAAAAAGTAATATATATGATAAAATAGATTGAGATTTAGATTGAGTTTTATCCATTTATGGGAAATTAAAAATGTAATATGCAAAAATAAAATATTCAAAGTTACTTGTTATAATATTTAATAGATAAAAGAATCTCTATTAAAAATCCTACTCTTTTAATTGTGTTCATAAATATATGAACTTGCATGAATATCCGTAGTCTTACTATAATTTAATCTATATTAAAGCGAAAACAAAGTTGCATAATAAATGAATTGATGTAGAAGATATAAGTATACAGCGTCGTCAATAGTGCTCAATCGAGAGACTACAAGTCCTGTCGATTATTGCGCTTAAATACTCGATCAACATATTAGATGATATGCCCAATGATATACCAACATATTGATATGAACTCAATATACTAAATATGTTCATTGACTAGTAGTCAGTCATTATACTATGTATTTTATTAACCCTTGCTGAACCGTCGAGTGGTTCCCACAAACACCATCGATTCTACAATGTATCAATTCTATCTCGTTTCACGGTAAACCCAGGAGTGACTGTTGTTGACAATTAGGTGCTGATCACTTGGCGAAAGTGCTAAAGCTTGGGGTTATTTTGTGCACAATTCTTTACCTAAGCTTGCCACTTCTTCAGACATCACGGATTCCTTCATTTATTAATCGTATCGCTATTTTAGTTTCATTTTTATTTGATCTTGGACAAAATTTCAGAAATATACATATTTGTGCAATTTTATGAAATTTAGAATTTATTCCAGATTTTTCTGAAAACTCCAATTTACGCTGTTAGTTACTTCGGTAACATTTTGCTTAATTTATATAGTATCAAACGGGAATTGCTTATATGAATAAAATATTTCCGTTTATTAGTAAAACCTTGAATAAAATTTATAACTGAAGACACCGAATATTCTTATATCTTTTACTCCGAGTATAAATATTTTTAATCATTGTTCCATTAAAGATTTTTAACTGTATTCATCTAGTATCCTTCACTTTCTTTTTCTGCAAACTTTCCTTGAATCACAAATATTCGTATTCAAAATACCTGGAAGACTTGATATATAAAATATAGCTTTAAAAAGGTCGAAAAAATTATGTAGGCCCGACCATTCATCTGACGTTAGAAGGCCATACATATATATCTTGAGACTAAAAATGCTTTTAAGCCGTAACAATTAACTCTTCTTTGTCTATCTCTGATCTTTCAAATAAAATAGTACGTCAGACCCTAATGACTTTAACGTTGAGTATGTTCACCTACAAAATTCTAACTTTTGCGACAATATCGTTCTGAAACTTCTCTACATTGTGTGAATTAATTGCAACAAATTCGAAGTTTTTCAAACAAGTATTATAACGTTTCGTAATATCAAGCAGAACGTCGGAATTCATACATATGAATATCGCTTTAGTATCTAATTTCCAAGACAAAGATACCGACTAAACTTCGTGGAATTTTATTTCGATGTTTTCAAAATATTCGACCATTTCAAATTACATTGGTTTATTCTCCGATATCAGGTAGCTTGTGACAGACACAAAAGTGTCATATTTCTCACTTTTTGTGTCTGTCACATTCTCTGCTGCATTTTCGTGATTCACGATCAGTCGCCAGTTCATGATTTAATATTATGAAACTCTATGAAATTACTACTTTACGCTTAATGTCCTTTATCATGCAATGAATTTTAAGTTTAAGTATTTGCTCAATTTAGACGCTATGATGTATTTATTTATATTTCCTCCTTTTTCTTTTGTAACTGTAACCTTCTTTTTTCAAGGAATTCGTTTTCATTTTAGTAATGAATGTTATGATTAAAAGTTGATTTTTAGAGTTTCACGAAATGCACTGTAATATTTATTACAAATATATATATGTATTCTTATTATTATTAAAGTTTCGTTTTCCTTTTTCTTGTCCACTTGCAGAAGTGATCGTAAGCAAACGTAATGATACTGATATGTAAAAAAATTATATTAAATGATACTTTCACGAAACAAGTAGGTTTACAATTTTATTATTATTATTCGTAAAGAACTGTGTAACAGAAAAGGTTTATGTAAGGCTCTATGATAAGATATTCCAGACACGACAATCTCACTGAAATCTACGTTTTATTTGTTTCATTTGCACAACATTTTTAACGACGATGAAAGTATAAAATTTAATCAACTACAGTTCAAGTCACTTACTTGACAAACATCTTCGTCATTTCTTTAGCAAAAACTAGAACTTCGAGAATATTATTTAATAGAAAATAAATGCAGTTTGCAGTAAAGCTTGTTGTATAAAAGAAGATTTCGATTATAAAATTGGCGAATGTACGAGGATAGATCGGTTTTAAAATATTTCTTCCTTGGGTATCGTGGTATCCAAACAGTCGTCTTTTCGATTAATGATAGCCATAGTGACCGAATCCGTGACCATAACCATAATAGGGGTAGCCTAAGGGGAAAAGCAGATTAGGATGACAGGGCAACGTCGATGAATATTTTGTTCATTTTATGATATATAATTCTGCTCGTGAATGTGCAACGTCGATGAATATTTTGTCCATTTTACAATAATTGTTAGAAAGGATCTCAAGCAATAATCAAATAAAAATTTAACAAAATTTACTTTATAATATAGTTAGAAATATAAAATCTCACATGATATAACATTTAATGGAATGTCAATTAAAGCTTACAAAAAATTCATTGACGTTGAAAGCACTTTTTTCGCGTTCTAAATTTTTTCATGCATTCTGTACTCTTACCATAATGTCCGAATCCGTGGCCATATCCGTAGAACGGATATCTATAGCTATAAATGTAAGGATAATATCCGCCGTAGTATCCACCTAAGTATCCTGGTTTCGCAGCGACGATGCCAATAATGACAGCCAGCAGCAGGACTGTGTACTAGAAAGAAACATCATCCTCAAAATGTGCATAAATATACATGCATTATATACATGCATAATAAATGTCACAAATCTTATATATTATTCAATTCCACGAAACTATATTTCTAAAAAATTCGTTTATACACTAACATATTCCTTTACACTTGTTTACCTGTGTATTTTTTCCCCATGTAATACCTCCTTTTAAGTTTACGATGTTCTCCAGATATAACTTCTTAAAAACTATAAAAAATTCTCAGTACGAAAAACGAGTCATATAACCTGAAGATGTATAAATCATTTACGTCTCGTCGCATTATGAAGGGAAAAAAGAAATACTCCAAACAAAATTTGAATAAAAATTTCTCTCGTCGAAATAGAATATAGAAAACCATCTATACTTGCAGTATTCAGTGATTGCATATTATTTTCAAAATAAATAAGAAATAAAATATTTAAGCGTCAATTATCAATTTAATAACGAGTGAAAATTAATTTTTTTCTCCCCTATATGATATATACACGTGGATAACGCTATTCACAAATCAAATTGATCAACATTTTTCAAAATTTCATCACTTTAGTACTAGAATGCACTATTAGTGTGTGATTTTTCAAAAATTAAATTATCTTTAATGGAATTGATCAATTTATTTCTTTGTTGGGCATAATGATTTCTTTACTCACAAGTTTCAAGCAAGCCATTCTCTGTCAGCTGACACACCTGTTATCTCCTCGAGGAATTGCACTAATTTTTCCGATCTGTCAGTAGTGTACCACTGTCCGTTCAACGTTGGTCTCCGTTTCTTTTATAACAAAGGCGAGTTCCGCCACGGCCCCCATCAGCAATTTTCCCAGCCTTCGTATTGGCTTCCCTCTGTTAACACTAATAGCAAAGACTGGTATTGTTACTCTGGGATTATGCGAATGCAACACGTCATTATGAAAGACAGACGATGCAACAACGGTGTTTCGGGGTGGTCAACCGTGTGCACGCCCTGTGAACAGTGCCTTGACATCCAAATTTGCCGAGGAATCTACGCTTTTCGTCTGAGAAACCTTCCATTAAATTTCCCAATGCCTCTTACGTACCTGGAAAGAAGAATACGTTACCCAGAAGAACGTTGTCGTGATATTTGCATTCTAAATTCCGTGGACCCGCTAAATTAGTTGGTCCTCCGCGACAAGAATGGGTTTACTTATTATTCGAGACCTGAACTGGCGACTCGATTTGGAAAATTGGATTTCTTTTTGGAAATCTCATGCATTTGCAAAGCAAGAATATAACGTGATTAGAAGCGAATCATGTATTTCGAATTGACATATGACAGCTGAAATTATCGTGTTCGTGTCGATCTCAATTTTAATAGTATGAATTTCTATTCCTCTTGTCATTCTTGTGATGATTTACACGGTTTACTGTGTCACTTTGTAATCAACGCTGTTCCTAAAATAACTTGCTAACGATAATGCTTGCTAACGTTCATAACTAACGCTAGAATTAGCTATCTGACTAAGATATGCTAATGAAGCTGAGAATAAAACTAAGAATAAAGCGCCGAAATTAAAACTCGGAATAAAACTTCTAAAGTATAAAATTGAGGGAATCGACGTAAAAAATGTGCGAGAAAATACGCAATGCATAGGAAATTATTATGCATAGCTTTATCCATATTGTGTCTTAAAAATCTTAGATCTTAAATCTTAGAAAGCTTAAAAATCATTTAGTGCCCCATAAGAGCTGCAAATTCATAAAATTACTATGAAAAATTATCAGTTGGTAATTCTAAGGTTCAGAAGATAAATAGTCAGAATTGTGTCAGTGTACGAATTAATAATTAATATTTACCTAATCATCTTCTAATAATAGATAGTAGAAGTTATTGAATAAAACAAGATTTTCAACTAGTCATTTCTACGCTGTTGGATAATTTAATTATTACCCGAGTAAGGGCAGTGTGTGCACGAATGCACGATGCGACGAAAGAAGATGCAATCGTGGGTATCGTGATCGAGACAGAAAGAAGAAAAGTTATGGGTTGTGTAACAGGAGCGTGGAAGAGGGGAACACGTTACAAAATGGTGAAATTACACGGTATGGGTCGCGGGACGAAATCGAGAAAAAAAAATGATCGTTGCGACACACATGGAACCGAGGATGTGTCTGTCATTAATTGCAGTTAATGTGCGATACTTGTAAGCCTCATTGAGCGTAACGTTGCCCAACTGGATCTTCGTTGAATCAAAGATATTCTGGTGTTCGCACGAATGTATATGAATTTTTCTCGTTCCTTTCTTTCCTTCCATTTTTTATTTTAAATTATTCAGCGAATCCTTTCAATGGACTGGACGAATCGGTAAAGTATATAATATAATCGAAAGTATATTACACCGTATTGAAATTCATCGATGACTCGAGGAAATGCGCAGCACATCTTCTATAACATAATCGCGTAATTGATATATGCAATGAATAATCATTTTGTTTCTCTGGAAAAGAATTGCGTGACTTCACGATTCGTAAATACCTGCTGCATTTCTTTATGTCGAATGTTTCGTTTATCGCGTGCAATTATTACATATGCATCAGACATATCACGTATTCCGTTAGTGTTTTGCTGCTTGATTTATCGATCCATTTAATTATATAACTTTGTGCACAAATTGTAACCAACAGGTTTGGTTTGGTTGAGCATTTGCAGTCGTGACTCGTAATCTTCACAACTGATCAAGTAAAAACCTGCTCGAATGACCAACATACATACATATATATGTATGTAAAATCAGTTTCGTTATTGAGTGATATTAAACTATTGCCAGCGATATTGTTGCTAATTTGCATGACACATAATCAGCCTCGCCTTAATCATCGCGTCAAAAACATTCAGAATCTAATTCCATCAGTTACGTGATCCTTTTTTCTTGTTTTCACGATAAATACTTCCCCAGAATCTATGATCGGCAATATTGTGAACGATGAAGGATTTTCCGCGTATTACGTATCACGATTTGTTCACCTTGAGGGGAAAACAATATATCAATTTTATTGCGTTGTTACCGTTCTGGAACCAAATGATCCATTGGAGGACAATCAGGATTCGATTGATTCTTCTGAACGGATAATTGTCATTTTATCTCTTACCTTTGATCACTGGATTAAGGGTGCTACACAAATTTTTATGGATACAATTAATAAAAATTTTCAATCTAAATAAAGATTTACTTCAGCCATTAAATATTATAAATTTGATATTTTATATATTTTTCTATATCATATTTCATTCTCTACGTTTTTGCATATATAAATTTTCCATACATATTATAAATGTCGAGTTCTTAATTGCATCGTGTCATCTTTAATGATCGATTGATAGGTCACATTTGCGTATATAAGAGATCTTTACGAAGGTCACGAAAATTATTAGACCGTAATAGTTGGCATGCGTGATGGGCACGGCGTGTAATTGCAGGATAAGGCCAACTAGAGCTATGGGAACTTTTTTGTATATCATAAGTATGGGAACGTTTCGTTGAGCAATGCCAAGTTACGGCACGTGTCGTCGGATTAGTCGTCAGATAAATTCTCAATTAAGTCGTCGGAACACCTTGTTGGACCTCAATTAAATTTTTCCAACGTCGGAGGCGACCTGAGAACAGGTCGTAATTATAATCACATTGAAAATTTTCCGCTGCCGTTTCCAATAGAATTCGATGATTCGATGAATGTAAAGTGACTATTTTAATGAATCGCTAGGTAAATATTTGTTGCAATCATCTAAGACAAAGGACATATATCTTTAATCATAGAAGGATCATTTTGCTATTGCACACCGAAATTCCATTTTTCCTGTTTATCCTGCCTATTTCATTCTGTTTATCCTCCTCGTTTTCCTTCGCAGAAGTAATAAAATATTTTTATTATAAAATTGACTCACAGAAATTAATCCAAATAATAAAATTGACTCAAACAAACTCATTATGAAATTCATAGTGAATTTTGATTGCAATGATGAACACAAAAATAAAATAGTTGCGGCAATGCACCGGTGAGATTGAAACAATTGAGGGAGCGCATCATACGTGTCAACAATGTGATTGACAGAATTGAGAGAATGTATGCGTCACCGATGTTATTAAAAGAATTTGGAGAGGGTCAGTAGTAGCGAAAATAATAAGGAAATTACAAAGGAAAGAGAAAATGTCCATAATACTTTAATTAATGATCGATACATACAAATGTTTCTTACATTAAGTACATAAATACTAACATATTACAATATTTATATTGTGAATTTTTTGTAGTTTTTGGTGAAATTTAGAATGTATATGATATACAGATATATATAAAATATGTAAAATAAAATACTGGTCATAATTCTTAAAACAAATCTATATTTAAATTTTATTTCTTTAACTATACCCATAAAAATATATTTTGTATAAAAATCCACAATTTAGTGATAATTATAAATGACATCAAGATAACTGATTCAACGATCGATCACTCGCTACTTTATTTCTTTCTTTGGTCACAAGTCCAAACGAAGCGCGCTTTTTATATCCATTTGAAGTAAGAGATCGAACCTCTTCCGACTTGCTTTCAGACAACATTTCAGCTTCGCTATTGGGGGCTGACCCGGTTTTATGATTTTCATTAGCCTTCTCCGTTTGTTCAGGTTTCTCAGTTATCGCAGGTCGTTTATAATAAGGATAATATCCACCGAAAGGATAAGAATGAACCAGTGGATAACTACTTGGATAGAAATTCAAATAAGGTACAGGTTTGATTCCTGGAAATAGATAATTGTGGAAGCCAAAACGATAAGGTAACCCATGAAACGGTGCCAAAGGATAGGAATGAAAATTAAAACCACCATAGTAGGGTCCATATGGTGGAAAGCCATAAGGATATCCACCATACGGAGGATAATATCCGGTAGAATTGACATCACCTTGTACATTTTCTGGTGATGTTATTTGTTCAGGATGTCCTTGATTCTCAGGTGGATTTTGTGGTTCCACGGGTCTTCTTTGCCCATTAAAGTTCGGATAATAGGGTTGATTGTAAGGAACATAAGGACCAAACCTTGAACCATGAAAATAAAACGGATTATAAGGATCATAAGGACTATATGTTCCATTACCACCACCTTGTTCCACGTTTCCCCGATAAAAAGACTCGTTAAAAGGACCAGGGTAAAATCCAGGAAATCCATGATAAAAACCATCGTAATAAGGTTGCTTATGATGAAAACGAGGACTGTAATCGTATCCCCCTATAGCGGTCTGGCCTTGATTCTGATCATTGATCAATCTAGGCGGGTTACTTTCATACTGCCCACTACTTGGGTTCACAGGTTGGTTCTCACCTTCGATGGGCCTATGGTGAGAATAGAATCCTGGATGTTGATGAAATGGATAATAAGGAGTGGTAAAGGGACTATGGTAATTTAAGTTAAACGGCCTACGAGTTATTCGAGCGATCTGAGTATTCTCATTTTCATCGTTTGGGTTAAGCCCTTCGGTTGTTGAAGATTCCTGAGAATTAACAGGTGTCTGAGACGATAGATGATGATAATTCGGCTGAGGGTCAAACTGAGCATAGTGATTTGCGTTAGATAATTGATGTATAGGTTCAGATTTGTATCTGAATCCTGAAGGTTGCTGGTACTGATTGGAATAATGCAGAGGAGCTGCCTTAATATTTACGTCGATAGAATTATCTTTCGTACCACTATTGACGCTCCCAGGTGTTTCTACGTTCAGTTGGTTGTAAGAAATTCGCGCATCACGATTCGATGCGAATTCGTATGGTTTGTACGCTTCTGAATTGTAATATTTTGAGTATTGGGGTGTGTTCGTTAAGAAACTGTTCTGGAACGTTTGTTTTCCTTCGTTTGAAGAAGATTCACGAGTATATCGCGGAAAACGATTGAAAGAAGTATTTGATGAGATTTCGGAACTCTCTGGCTGAGTACGGCCAATGTCTAAGGAAAATTGTGTTTCCTGGATTCTTTTCAGAAGGTTACTCGATGATTGATTCGATGGTGGATCCTGGTAATCGTTTAGCAAGGTCGTTGACAGGACCGACGCGATGTTCCTGGCGAAAGACGTCAATACCTCGGTACCTATATCGCAACAAAACGATTTAGATGTTATTGGTTCGATATAGTTTTAAAGAATTTCAGAATTTAAATAATTAACTTATCTTTTTATGTTGTTTGACGGGATCTTTTAGCTTTTTTCTAGTTTCTTTTTTTTTTTTTTTTTTTTATTAATTCGAAATTTTCTGTATAAATACAATCACTTCACATTATTATGTATCTCAACCTTTGCCATTTACATTTTTACATATTTATCGCGTGGATCTTAGGCTTTGAAAAGACAGCTAGTATCTTTGTTAGTGGTTTCGTTAATTTGATATTCAAGCCTGTTACAACACGCTCGAGACAAATTACAAGAAAGCAAATGTTCGGGTCAATACAGTATGTTGATGTCACAGCTTACGGATGTAAGGATAAACGTCACGATAGTAGATGTGGAAGGCTGAAGCTGGAAGTATAGCCAGAGGCAAACAGACACCATTCAATGCAAACATGGTTTAGTGTAACTAGAAAAAGTCCCAAAGTCTAAACCAAGCGCAATAAGGAAATTGTGAGTGTGATGAATAGTCGAAAGTAAGGAAGAAAAAATTTGCCCGCGGCAAAATCCGTGTTCTACACGTGTACTACAAAATTTACTAGTGAAGAATTTTTTAGCATAATTGTGCCCATGAGGATTAAAAGCATGCAAGTTGAATTAAAATAGGAATTAAATAGACAGATACTTATTTTTGAAAGAGTTACTGTACAATTATATTTAAAAAATTTACTTCTGCGTCAAATAGCGAATTTGCAAATAGAAAGTCTGTCTAAATTATTCTGTTTGGATTATTATTATTATTAAATTAATTATTACAATCGTCATCAACTAAAAGTATTCGAAATGCCACAGAAATTCTGAACAAACAGAAATCAGAAATTTTCATAATTAAAGATAACATTTCATATACTATATTATTTAACATTTAAATTGGAAATCATAAATTAGTTGTCACGATTCAAAGATATAAAAGAAGTGACTCGTCTGCCACGAGAAGCATCAATGTAGGAAGAAGATTGTCATTTATCGTCATAGTTGCGAAAGTGCTCTTTTTAACCTGTCAACGGGGATCCTATTAGTGTTCGCGAACTCACGTGGATAATGCAACGTGCGTGCATCGTTCATGAAGACCAACTGGCATGCATCATATTGGATGTCAATTACACTTTCTCTGTTCGAATACTTCTGCCATCGTTTACTTCATACAAGATTGGCCAATTTCGTATATTTACATATACTTACAAAGATCAAAATATATTTAATTTGTCTTTTTGAATTTCTCCATTGACCATAATAAATCAGGATAGAACGAATTACGCGATTCATTAAAGCAGCTTTGCAGTTTTCCTCACCAGTAAACAGAGTAATTTAAACAAGCTACTAAGTAATTAAACAAGTTTAAAGGTTCGTAAACGTCAAGTGCATTTTATAGCGAACAATTTCAAATATCGGCGCGATTTAATATCAAACGATTCTAAATATCAACGCATTTAATAAAATAAAACTGATCTCATTCGTCTCGTAGAATTTTCCTTTCTAAAAATAATCGTCATTGTTCTAAAAGCAGTTCAAGGGTGTGCATAGTGATGTTTAAAAGCGTTTCCCAGAACGGAATAATAATCGACTTACTGAGTCCGCTTTTTGCCGCGTTCACGTTGTCCCGAAGAATCCATAGACTAACGATCACCGCCGTTATCTGCAATGAAAATTAAAGTAAAAATAGTCAATGGGAAGAATGAAGGCTTTCCTTCTCTTTTTAAATGAGGAAAATATAAGCTTCCCTTTGAACTACGTAATACGGAGCGAGTAATGAGAGGCTCGCGATACCGTGCCCGCCAATTTTCTGTAATACGATGTTTTATTTTTCATTATGCAATGGGAGAAGCTACATGCTCAAACCCGAAGATCAACGCACTGTTTCATACATGACACACTTGGTTTGCACGTGGTATGGCCGATTGTGAAAATTTTGCGAGCAGGCAATCGCGGAGGCGGAAGAACGTCTCTGAGTTTCGAAATGTTTTGATTCAAGCACTTCTGTTTCTGTTTTCTCTGTATTTAGTTTTTTTACACGATTGTAATATTGGCTTTCAATTTAGGATTTTAATTATTTTAAATTTGAGTTTGAATAAAAATTTTGAATTAAGGTCTGACTTAATGTTTTAAACGATTACGATGTCGGATTTGGATTAAATTTTTCAACCTTCTCAGATTTGAGTGTGAGTAGAAATGTTGTATTAAGTTTGAAATAACTTATGATTTTTTAATACATTACGATGTTCGCTATAAACTAGTTTTAAATTTAATTTTGATAAATATTTGTAAGCATAACTTTTTCATTTTTTGTTTCATTAACCCGTGTCGCTATTTATGAGCAGTTATCAAAGTATGACAGGTATTCGTGTTTGTTTACAAGATATAGCACTCTTGCAATGGAAACTCATCAATATTTCTCATTTAGTTTTCATGGAACCTGTTATCCATGAGATTGTGACCTATGGCGAACGAATTGATCGTAGCAAACTTGTTGCTTCCTGAAATATCTAGAATTCCAAGAATAAAACTGAGCGAACACGATCGAGAAAATAATCGACCACGGTTATATAACATTAAAATTGCATTGTGAAAGGTGCGGCACGCATGAAAGGAACCAAAGAAAATAGATTGCAATTATTGTATCACTCGTCGCAGTCCGCATAAGGAAATAATTGTGTGAATTGTTACTTATTATTCGCGACTCTTCATATGATCGTAATTATGGACTTATACGACTGCACATCAGCTTACTAATGCATAGATACTCATTTATAGAAATCAGTAGGTACTTTCTAAGTACTAAAAATTCTTTCTTTTCAGAAATATTTTCTCTTTCAAATCAATCTCCAGTAACAAATAGTATCTACCAGAAGCTAAATTCTGATTTGATACTGTCTGGATAGCAACAAATATGTATGTGTAAGTATTATATTATATTGATAACTGATAAATGTATATATATTATCATCAGTGATCGATTAATTGATTAACGAATGATCTTTACAGCGGAAAGTTACACGAAGCCAAGTACATAAATCTGTTCGGCACGTATCAATCGGCAATAAGTAAATCGCGTAGAAAGCAAATAAGGAGTTGTATTCCCGTTTCATTCATGGTTTATTCATTCACGAAGTTAATTTCTACAAGCGCCGTACACCGCGATCGCAATAAAATACACATGGTCACTCACGATTTATACGTGCCGTAGTCCTTATGAATGGTCACTATCGCGATCTAAAGTTGTACCCGAAGAACGCCCACGTTTCATCTATTTTCTAACGAAGCTGACATATAAGTTTCCATTGAACAATAGCAACCGATCAATGAACGATCCGACTGTCGTTCGACATGAACGATAAAAGGATTTTCCAACAATCGATATGAATCTATGTCCGTTAATTTAACACACACATTTGTTCTCTTAATTAAACGTCTGGGAAACATAACACAATAAAACACCTTGTTGACAATCAATGTTTTCTTTTTTCTTCTTTCTATCAGTGACGAAGATTTTATGGAATTTATTGCTTTAGATAGATATTCGTTTACAGTTAATTGCATTGACTCCAAGTGGAACGCGTTCTCAGAACATGATGTACATGCATACTGTCTCATATTGTTCTGGTCGGATCGTAATTAGCACGATTATGCAACGTCTAAGCCTTTTTTCTCGCAAGGACGTGCACTTGCGAATATATTAGTGCGAATCTAACACACGACGTTTGCAGAACGATTCATTAAAATTTATCTGACACGTGTAAATCTGATACAGCATCTGTGCACTACACTGTTTGCAAATAGCAATAAATTTTCATGGCTACTCAACGATTACGATTTTGTTGCGACGATTAGAATCAACGGCGACAATTTCATTTTACGATTACATACTCTGAGATCTGTGAGGTTTGCGTACCCAAACTTCTTTTACGGAATTTAATCGAGAAGTTTCACTGACTTGTTTCAAATTTATTATACTTTATCATCTTCTGTAATTTATATACGATACATCGTGCGGCGATTAATTTTTAATCCTTATTAATGATTTATGATGTTCGTTTATGCAAAGTACCGGTACGATATTTTTTTATATTAAATATATATGATAAGACAATCTGACAGGTTTAACAAACGATAAAGGTAGCGGTATTATGTAAGAAACAATTGGTCGGTGTACATCGTTAGAGGCAAACGAAACGAAAATGTATTTTCTCGATTGACGGTTCAAGAAAGTAGCCGCGTTACCGCATGGTGCATCGATGTAGGACGAATATCATCTTCACAGTTACGAAACAGTTGGTTTTTTTTCTCTCTGTCAACGAGGATCGTATTAGCGTTCATATAGGTACTCACGTGTAGAGGGTAATGCATCGTGCGTGCAGCTCGTGACGACTAACAGGCATACACCGTACCCGATGTCATTTATACTTTCTCTCCATAAACGCTTCTGCCCTAATTCAATTGATATAAGTCCAATCAATTTTGAATATTTCATACGTAAACGAAATTACGTGTAATTTTTTTACTCGAATTTCTGATAACTAATGCAATCGACAAATGGTCGATCAGTTTTATATATTTCATACGGGAATATCATCATCGAATCTATATAATTGATACACACAGAAATGGTATCAATTGATCGTTTGATTCATTCTTAGAATTGTAATTTATTATTTAGATTGAGTAATAATATAGTTTATTGTATAATCAGGAAGGAACTAATTTAAAGTAATATTTTGGAATAGAATTACAGTATACGCTACGGAAATACTGATTCACAAGATAGAAAGTTGTCGATCACATCCGAATTATATACTTGTCATATCACCATCAATCTTTTTCATTTGCTACATAGTGATTGAGAGCATATAATTGAAGGGATACTTACCTTACATATACTTTTAAGAAGCAAGTTGCTAAAGAGGAATAAAAGTATTCTAGCGATTTCTCATATCTTTAATGACACTACCTAAAAAAGTTTCATTTAACTATGATTTTTAAATACACATACATACAATCATACGTGACAATAAATATAATGAAGTTTTTGGAATGTATAATGAAAGTTTTAAAGCTTTTGTACTTTTTATTAGAAATTTTTTATAACTAATGGAATTCAATATCCTATGTGACTGATCGTGCCAACAACGCCAGGAGCAACGACACCACGAGCATTGTAAACTTGTACAGGTTGCGGATGCACGCCTACCAGTCTCGTTGCCCTAAAATTTGGATTGACAACTACCGGTTGTACATTTCCGAATCCATTTAATTGCCGAGCCTGAATGGAATTAAATTGTTGTCTCATGAATCCTGGATACTTTGCCAGCATTCCAGTTACGCTTCCGTAGGGAATGCCTCCTAGAATAAAATAATAATAATTAGTAAATAATGGAAAATAACAATTCGTAAGTAAACATCGTAGTTCTAATAAGTGAATCGAATTAAAATTAGATAAAAAGTTTAATTAAAATGATAATATTAATTATACTTTATCGTATAATTTTTTAATAAATTAAACAATATTTTTATTCTTGAAGTAGCAATTATACTAACTAACTTTATATTTAATTTAGTTTCATTTTTATATTGACTTAAATCTTATACGTTCCGAGCAATATAACATGAAGCAGTCGATATCGCCTACGCAAGTGTTGAAATCTCCACTCGGCGCATTGAAATCTCTACGATTTCTAAATCACACGCAATAAAAATGTATAATCAGGTCCAATATTTTTATATCCTGTTTTTATAACCTTGCTTAATATGATGGAATTTTTGGTCTTCTACTCTGATTCTCAGAAGATAAACTGTTTATAATAAAAGTGAAAGGAATTCGAGCGGAATGTTCTCGAAACGCAGTGTCGTCCTCTGTCGTGATTCAATCGAATGTGAAAACACGTTTGATTACTTTTATCAAATTTGAAGTTAGTTATAACAATAATGCACACATAGAAATAGCAAAATTACAAATTACTCGCAGAGAAACGAAAGTTAAGGAAGTTTCTTGATATTATGTAACGTAAAAGGAAAGTAAGTAGACTGACTTACCATACGCCAATCCGTTCACCATCTCTACGATTCCTGCGCTGTCCGGCGCAACTGTCGATAAGTTCAGCAAACCAACCATAGTTAACAGTAGAATGATCTGTAAACAATTAATTATTGCCATTTTATAAGCAGACGCTAAAATGAAATGGGAAAATCCTAGTTGTTTCTGCTGACTAAATCAATGTAATTTTTGAAGCTGAACGTACTTTATCGCTCTTTTATATGTGCTTTCAATCAGATACTGAAGACAAAAAAATTATCTTCCCATATTATTAAAACAATATTCAGTTTGTCGATATAACAGAATTTAATAAGGTATATCAGATTCTCAATTAAGAAATTATTAACAAGGTAAGCACATTATCCTCGAATTTAATTTCGCGATAGCAAACTTAGGTAATTGCAGTAAACGACAGTCATCGATAGAAAGTATGATATTATTTGCATGTTAGTTTTTACCTGGTAATATAAATTAATTATACCGTAAAAAGCAAAATGTCTTATCGTTACTCGAATATAGAAATCTCGCAAAACGTTAAATAAACATGTTTGAAATATTAACTGTTAGATGTTAAACGTTTTCGCTTTCTCCTGTGATTTTATTTTTGTTAAAAAAAAGAAAGAGAAGAAGCAGGAACATATATATGCAGCTAAAATACACAGTTTCATTTGGATGCATCGTTTAAGTTTACTTTTATTTCAGCACACGTAGTCGTGTTTTCTGTTTGTCGAATCGTAAAACAAGAACGAAACTCGAGTACAAACTTGAAGATTGAATTATAGGCTCGGCGTAAGGTTACTGTTAGCCAATCCAAGGCCGGGATTTCGTTTCCACTAATTTCGTTATTAGAGAACACTGTAAACGAGAGAATTCGCGTAAGGCAGTGATTATATTTCAACTATTAAAATCCAACAAATAATGGAAAGCAGATATAAATTACACAGCCACGAAATTTGGTTTAAATAATTATTTCGTTTAAATTCACTCCAAAACGGATCGATTTGCAAAGTTCATTAAACATGTTTTTAGAATTAGCATTACTGTGAAACATATGGACCTTGGAGAACACAATCACCTCTCTTACGTTAGTCACGCGAGTCATGTTGCTGTGACTATTTTCTCTTTTTCGTTCTAGTTCGAACGCTTATAAAACCCGATTTAATTATCACGTGAGGAACACCGATTTGACATTATCAAAGCATATGTTTACCGAAATGTTTTATCGCTTCCTTTTGCTTTTATTAATTCAATATTTTGTAAATGATTAGAATACACGAACGTATCTAAAGATTATTAGAAATTAAATTGTAACATTTAATATTTGAAATTTGGAAGAAAAACAAAAATTTTAACGAACAATCATTGCGTTTAGATAATTTTCATTATTTTAAATCTTTTATATCGTTTAACTCTTTTCTGTCAAAAACACTATTATAATAACACTTTATCGCACTTCACTAAGGAAATTAATATTTATATATTCTCATATATGTATAAAAGTCGTCATTTAGAAATAAATGTAATAACTATACTGTTAAGGAACACCACTCATTTAAGATCCCATTTTTAGATGATTACGAAGTGCTTTCTTATTTATTCTTATGTAAAACGAGCACAAGTGCGACGACATACCTTCAAAGGAATCATATTGACCTTTTGATAGTCACTTTGCAAGACAAGAAGGAAACTAAAGCACGAAACTAAAGATCGAATTATATACGGGGCTCGGTCTCGCAGTTGGCCAATCAAAGGCTTGTATTCCCTTTCAGTATCGAGTGTTATTCATCGATACAGGATTTTATTAGAATGCAGTACGTACCTAAATGGAGGATATCGTCCACCTTAACCTTGGTGAACGTCCAGCTACCACTCACGTCGGTCGTGCCAACAGAATAAGGTAAATACTCTGTAATTCGTATTTTTATCAGGGAAAATCTGATTCCGATTGGGAAATATTTGAAAGTTGTCCATTGCACGTTGTTCACTAAACAAATTGAAAATTGAAAATTTTGTTGCCTCATAGGTATTACAATCGTCCAGCAAATATAATTTCACTATCAAATTTGATTAATACTAAATTTGATGATACTAAAGAATAGATGTATTTATATTAATCTTTATACACTCAGTTATTGTACTAAATATTTCCACTTTTCTGACTGAAGAAATTGAAAATTGTATCACGACAAATAAGTATCGAAATTGATATCTAAATATAGCTAAAGATCTCGTTAATTGAATACTAAAGGCTATTTTGATTAATCTTCATACGATCAGTTATTGTATAAGATACTTCTATTTCACGCATTAATTACTAGTAACTAATTACTTTGCCTACATAGTTTCTTAGCCATAACGATATTCAGACCATGAAGTTCATAGGTGCATTTGATTTAATAAGACGATTATTTTCTAAGCATCGAGTAATTAATATAATAGCATGGATCATTATTCTAAACTGCATAATAATCGTTAAGTGCAAGTACATCATTCTTCATCGACGAATCATTCATCACGTCTGCAGTACGATAAACGGAAGAATGATTCAGAAGTTACTTACTAAATTCCATGGAGAAATTGTGACGTTCTATTGTACTGAATTGGATCAAGGATATCCACTTTAGAACAAGGATTGATGTTACGTAATGAGCGCAACAATTTAGATTATAATCAATTGTAGAAAGAAATAATTAACGTGTTAGTAAAACGCTAGAAATTCGTTAAAGATTGTTTATGAAGATTTTTCAGGAATTTTTTAAGGTTTCTTTAAGGATGTTTTATGAATTTTCTTAAGATCTTTTATGGAATTTTTTTAATTAAGTGAAAATATTTTAGTAATTTTTTAAAAACTTTTTTAAGGATTCTTTAAGGACTTTCTTGTTTTTTGTGCAACGTTCATTTTTATTTAAATAGTCTGATTTATGTACAATGTACATGTAATAGGTAAAGAACTAACGATACCAAATATGTAACTTTATTCGTTTAGTAAAAGATTTATAGAATTAATGTCATTATAATTGTAACAAATTTGTTTAAATGTTAGTTAGAATAATTTCGATTTATTACAGAAAATAGTTTGCAAAGATTTGTTAAAACGTTCCATCCTGATTTCTTTCTTCACATTTTCTTTGTGCTATCTCTTTTACTCGCCTCTTGCTTTACACCCAGTGAATATGACCGTTCGATCTCCATCCTTCCAGCATTATAATTATTTCCTTTCCACAAGTTATTTAAGTCTGAAAACATTGCACAGGTAAACGTGATATACTTTTTACCAACTTGCCCTCAAAAACTAATCTAAAACAAATTGTTTCATAAGTGACTCATAATCACTAAAATAACTCAAATTCGTTTCGCCTTTCTAAAATACCGTATCACACAAAACTCTCTCAATATGTGAGGTTAATGAAAGGAAACTCTAATGGTAATCTCTAATGAGAGTAACATCATCTTAACGTGTCATTAACATCCTTTCCAAACAATTTCTACTCGTCTACATAAGTCTTTCCCAATTAGCTCAGCAACAGCACGATTTTCAATTTTTCCTTCTTTTCTTTGGACTCTACTAAAAAGACCTTAAAGTACTGGTATAAAATACAAATAAAAAATAAGCATTCTTAAAAATCATAATTCTCCGATATCCAAGAAACAGTAGAAATAATTTCCCTGGAACTTTGTTCGGTCAATTGAAGAGCTCTGTTCTGAGGTATAAAATTCGCATCTGTCTTCAATATGCTTCCAATCTCGTAATCATTATGAGTTTTATCAAAGTCACTCAAGGTTTCTATCCTAGCGTCCTTGAAATCGAACCTTTCATCACTCTTGACAGGAAGAAATATTCTCTTCGATTCCTCTGCTTCCTTATTCTGATTCACGTCAACCAATCTTTCCTCCATAGTTTCATTCCCTTGATTCTTTTCTCGACCATCGTTCACCTTCTCTAGATGCTCCTGTTTTATAGAACCTTTTACAGATAGTTCTTGATTTCTGTCGTTTTTTGCCGATTCATTCACTAATTCATTCGTTTGATTCTTCTTTCTGCTTCTGGAATGCTGCTCCGCTGTACCAGTTTTACTCGAAGTATCTGTCTCGTTGCTAGCTTCGTTGACAGATTTATTCAGGACGTTAGAAATGTAATTCTTCTTCGAATCTTTACTCTTCTGATTTCTCCTTCGAGCAATTTTAGAAGCTGACGTCGTTGTTGCAACTAAAGAAGTAGATTCGACCGTGGCAACCGTGGTAGGAGAAGGTTTCTGTCTTCGACGAGCTCGATTAGCTTCAGTGGCAGATTTTGTCACAGTTTCCATTGTAGAAATAGCGTTCTTCGATGGCCTTCGTCTTTTCTTGCTTGTCTGCTTCGTGGAATTCTCAATTTCTCGAGGACTCTCGACCACGGTTATTCGAGGCTCGGAATTGTCTAAAGTATTCTTCACCAACTCGCTCGAGTTTCTACTTTCAAACAAGGTATCCATAGAACTATTATCTATCGATTTTTCTCTATTTCTCGTTTTCCTGCTTGGGACTAATGTCACATCTTCAGGAACAATCATTCCTCGGGAAATACCTCTAGATTTATAAGAAGTCACAGATTCTTTTTCTTCGAGTTTCTTTTCCTGTGACGAATCATTCTTCGTTTCCTCCAACGTTCCCATCTCCTCTGAATTGTCTTCCAAAGTCTTCTTGATCGATCTACTAATTTCTTCTATATTTCTCGATTTGATATTCATCAATTGTTTGTCCAGAGGTAGCTTAATATTTCTCGAATTATATCTGCTGCTATATCTCATTATTGGTCGATACTCGCTGCTACTTTCTATGTTATCTGAAGTTCTATCTTCTGAAGTGTCACTATCTATTCGACCCCAAAATCGGTATCTTCCACGTGGATAAGTATTCGTTCGATATTTCGTAGCAGAGGCTTCCTCTGCTTCTTCCTCCTCATCATTGAATTTTCTTAGCAAGCCTTTACGCTTCTCTGCCTCTCTTTTTCTATTTTCTCGTGCTAAACGTTCTCTCTTTTCCCATGGATATTCGTATTCGTAATTCATTTTATCGCGATATCGACTGCGTCTCCGTTTCCGTCGGTCTTCTTTGTCTTTATACCACGGAAAAACATATTCTTCTTTCTCTTCGTTGCTTTCTTGCGTTTCTTCGGAGTTTTCCTTTGGATGGAATCTTTTGTAATTGAAAAATGGAGGATGGTAGAAGGCTGGTTTGTTTATACGTGGACCAAGCTGCGAATATTTTTCATCTTCATAGTTCTCTGCTGGAGAAGATGGCCTAGAAGTATATGAGAAAGACGTTCGATCTTCCTCTGATTCGCTTTCTTTCGATGCGACGCTGCTTTCTTCAGAAGATTCTGTGCTTGACTGAACTTTCGTCTCTGTCTGTGCTTTCTCCGAAGATTCTTCATTGGAAAAATATGATTGATGAAACGGTTTCGAAATATCTTCATCCTTTTCCTTTTCATGTTCGTTTCCCTTCTGTGTTTCATTGAAATTTGTAGAGTCTGAAGTTTTGTTATTCTCATTAGAACTATTAGTAGTATTCAATGAAAATGATTTCTCAAAGTCTTCGTTTGATAATTCTCCATATTTTGGAGGATCGGTATCCAGGAAGCTTTCCAAGTTAAAGAATTCAGTAGAAGTCGACAATTGTGGCTTCTGTGTGGTTGTTGTTACTTCACCTTCGTTCACACTTTCGTAAACTGCATAACCACTTCCTGTTTTATTTACATCTGCTTCATTTGACTGGTTAATTAGATCATATTTAAAATTAGTAAAATTTTCAGATTTGTTCTGGTAATCGTCTTTGGTATTATTGCTCATATATTCTACGTTGCGGTTTTCTTTCACAATTTCTTGACTGTCGAGTTCATTGACTTTATCTGTGGTCGTCACAGTTTCTGTCCAATTAATTTTATTAGTCAAGTCCAACAAAGAACTCTCTGTAGTGGTTAATGTTTGGTTTGAAGGGTTCTTTCTTCTAATATAATTATACCTTGGCTCGCTTCGTCTCTTGTCTTCTTCCACCATAGTTTTATTCACAAATTTGCCAACATTCCAAAGATCACCTTTTGGTTTCGAGTACCTTATTCTGTCTTTAATCGTGTACACAACTTTTTGAGATTCTTCCTCTTCGTGATCGTCTTTATTATTCGAAGAATTAATCGTTACACTATTCAGAATCTTCGATTTTTTCTTTGTATCGATCGTTTTTGGAAGTTTGGTGGAAGTCATTGAATTTTCTTGAGTAGAAGAATCTTTGTCGTCCTCAATCGTCGAATTTTCCAAGTTTCTTAGTTGATAATCATTTTCCTTCCACTTCAAGAACCTATTTCCTATTTTGTCTTCTTTCTTTTCCGCCGACTGTGAGCCCAATTCAATGGAAGCAACTAATAATTTTCTTTCACGACTAGAGTTCAAGTCATCCTTCAGATCCCGTTTATAAATGCGGACTTTTCGACGACGTTTCACAGTTCTAATCCCAATTACAGGTTTCTGTACCGGCTGAACCCTTAATCGACTTTTCTGTGGAACTCTAATTCTCTTGTACACACTTTGTCTGTACCTATTCTGATATTTAGGCATCGGTCCTTTAATATTAATTCTCATATCACTCGGACGATCCATGATATCTATCGACACACTATTCTTCTCTTTCTCTCTTTTCCTGTAACTCGTCGAATTTGTACTAGAATTCGTTTTAACATCATCCACTGTATCATCCATTAAAGTAATTTCGTCTGAAGCTGGAATCGTTGTCGTCTCACGAACCTGATAAGAATTCGCTAAATTCTTTATGGTACCCATAACGTCCTCATAAACCTGACTCTGATATGGTATACTATCTGAAAGCTTTATCGAGGATATTTCACTGGCAGATGTGACAGGACGTCTCTCAATTTTCTGTGGCCTTTTAGAATTTTTCGTATACTTAGTCCGTGAACTTTGAACTCTATAACTCTCAGGTCTTCTTCTTGTTCTTGGCGTCGTTCTTGGATAAATTTTATATCGAATTCGCCTTGTTTTCTGAGCTATGATGGGATTGGAAATATGTTTTCGAAGTTGTCGATAATTCTCTGGCCTCCTAGAAGATTTCTGTATCACGTGATCATCCTCTTCTTTAGGGAACATCATGATTCTCGAAACGAACTGCTTGCCATTTATTTCAGCTGGAGGAACTGGATCTTCCACTTGTTTCTCTAGAAATAAGGGATTATCGAATGGATCTTCGTCGAAGTATTTAGCCTTGAAACAGTCGAGCTTGTCTCCTAATCCTTTAAGACGAGGAAGATTCCCCTCCGGATCTTTATTTCCTACTGGTTCTTCTTTCTCTGGTAATACCTTTAAATTAGGCTCCACCTCGTCACATTGCATATAAGCATCCCTCGAATTGTAAAAGTCCATGGCTCCGTATGTTTTCGTAGGTAATCTCTTAGGATCTACCGCGTATTTTAAAGCAGATGGAGTTGGCATCTTTTCGTTATTGTAAAATGGATATTTTTCTATATTTATGGTAGCTTCTGTGGTAGCAGTACTTTCATCAGCATGATCTTCCTCGGTTAGTTCTTCCACGTAATCGAACTCTGGAACTTCGACATCAACGTCAATATGTTCTTCGTTTTCGTCATCTTTCCCTTTGTTAATTTCTTTATCGTTATCTTCCTTACTTTCATTCGTTTCTTCGTTAAAACGACTGTTTATTTCCTGGTTTATGACATCCTCAGTTATCGTTGGTGCCTCGTCTAATAATTTTGCATGCACTTTTAATTCGTCCTTTACTTTAGAAACCTCTTCATGAACATCTTTCTTTTCTTCCACTGAATCGATCACTTTTTCTTCTTTCTGCCCATCAGTCACCTGAAATGTTTTATTTAATAATTCTATACGTTGCTTTAATTCTTTCACCATGTTAGAGTCATCCTTTTTAACGTCCTTTCTCTTTCTTACTAAATCAATTAGATTTAATTCTCGTTTCTTTCTTCCGGACACTTTAGATGTTTCATCTAATAATTCTTCACGTTCTTTTAATTCATCTCTCGCTTTAAAATCTTTTTTTTCAACGTCTCTCCCCTTCCTGACCAAATAAATCACATTTCCCTCCTCTTTCTTTCCATCGTCATACCTCGGCGCCCTCAAATTGCTTTTAATACACCCATTCCTCCCATTATACCCATTCACATCTATGCTTTCTCTTTCCACGACACGCGACTCTTCTCCCCAATCCTTCCCACAATGTCTCGATTTCTTCTCCTCAAACTGTTTTGCCTGCGACGTATCCAGAACGAGCCCCACTTCCAGGTCGCGTGTCACTTTCTGCGAGCAATTTCTCTCGATCGATGGATTTTTCGCTGCTCGTTCTATTTCACCTCGATTCGACGTGCCATTGTTTACTATCGAGCCTTTCACGATATCGCTTTCGTCATCAACTCCGACAAATCTTCTTTTACGCCTTTTTGCACGAATTCCACGAACCCCGTCGAGATTCGACGCCTGACGAAACGGTCTCAGAACGTTTCTGCCCTGCTTCGACCCGTTTCCGCCACGATTTACGTAATCTATCGGTTCATTGTGCCAGATTAAATCCTTCTGCGGCGGCGGAGCGCCTCGAATCAAATCAGACGCTGACTTCGTGTTTCTCTTGCGATTTAGAGGATGCCGTTGCATCTGTGGTAAATCGAAATAAATCCGATACGTTCTAGGATTTTTGTATACCTGACGACGTTGTTGAGAAACAGGAATCGAGCTCCAGTCAGACAGCGTGGTGTCAATCTCCGGTTTACTTCGCGGAACAACGTTGTAATAATAATAATCTGGTGTTTTTTGAGGAAGTGGGGGTCTCAGTATAGTTAAGTCTTGTAGATTATTTTCAGTGTTAGACAGAAAAAGATTGTTAGGTTGTAAACTGTTTGGATGTTGAGGATTTCGATACAGACTGTTTGGATGCTGATGTTGAACATTTTTCAGGTTTTTTTCGTTCTTCACGTGCATCAAAACTTTCATGTAATTTTCATTCATTGAGACAGGTTTCTTCGTAGTCGTCATATCGGTCAGTTGTTGGTTTATGATACTCGATGTCGATGATTCCTGATTTGAAGATTGAATGTTAAGATTTAAGGGTTTTTGAGGTTCTTTTGATTTGTTTCTAATTGTAATTTTGTAACGTGGTTTGCGATTGCTCACCGAACTTAACGTTGGATTGAAAAGAGAACTGTCAAAGTTTTGGTTAGATTCTTCGTTACTGTTTAAAATCTTTTGGGAATTCAATAATGAAATTTCTTGATCATTCATAAGTATTTTATCACTATGAGATTCTAGAAAGGAAGGTGGTTCCATTTTTAATTGTTCATCGGAATTGATCGATTGCCACAGTTCGTCCATACTTGCGCTATCCACAGGTAGCAATTCACTACTATGCCCATTATTTTTTAAATATGCCGAATCCACAGAACTATGGCCAGATGTTGTTTCCTGAACACCTAAGATCTCAGGTTCCAAGATTGGAAATATGGTCGTAGGTTCTTCGTAAACAGAATAAGGTACAAAATTATTCAAATTTCTAATATAGGGAGGTTGTGCAAGATTCTGATTCAAAGTCGTTGATTCCGATATCAATGGAAATTCTGTGGTTGTCAATTGATCCTGCCTTGTTTTAAAATAATCCCAGAAGAGTTGACCGTAGCTAACAGTCGTTGGATTCTCCTCAGTGCGTGTAAAATCAATTATATCGACGTTTGGCGAAGATTTACTATTGACTTGGTATTTATGTAACCCTGAAGAATTTTGAGACCAATTTTCCAAATCTTTTATGACACTCGTAGTATCCGTTGTACGATCCGTAGAAATTATATTCTCATCCATCGACGCTACAGTAGAATTCTCAACATTTTCAGACGATGACAATTTTCTTCGTTTTTTATCCGTTTTCTTTCTTCTTTCCTTCATTCTGTCATAATTATCACGTTCCCTTGATCCAGCTGAGGTTTCCATATCAGTGGTTGTCTGAACTTTCTCCAGTTTACTTATCTCAATCCCTTTCTCCATTTCTTCAGCTTCTCTTTCCAAATCCTCCTGCAGCTTCTCTATTCCCTTTTCAGCAACTAATTTTGGATTTACTAAAACATTATCACTGATTTTGCTCGTTGCACTCGTTTTAGGAAGAGCACTATCATCTTCATCAAACTCCTTGAACTCCTCGGGTTTAATCTTCTTATAGTTTTTATCTTTTGTCTCGTTCTCTTCTTTCTCGTGATTATCATCATAATCATCGTCTTCAGATTTTTTCTTAAGATCTAAATGATCGTGCAACTTTCTGGCGTAACCTTCGTGAAAATCAGCGTCTCTGATATGTCCAGCATGATCATACGCAGAATCTTCGTAGCCTTCTTCCGTATAAACCGTGTTCACTTTAGTATTCTTCACCACTGCCCTTAATCTTGCTGCATTTTCCTTTTCCTCTTCAGATTCCGCGTTCTCTATAGCTTTCTTTCGAGGCAGCTTCCTCAATGTATGAGTTTTTCTCACTTGAGCGTACAGTTTCGTTGGTACAAATTCTAAGTGAACTTTTTTGTCCTTTGGTGGCTTGGCCCATTCACCTGGAGCAGTGTATTTCGGTTTTGTTGGAACGTTTCTCGGTTCTTCGTGCTCTGAATAAGGAATCGCGTGATCAGCTGGTCCATCAGGCTCTTCTTCTTCGGAAGAAGAATCATCTATAGAAGATTCATTGTCCGTTGGATTCTGGACTCTGTTGTATACACTGGTGTCAGACAATTCTTGATCTGATTCTCTCTGATTTTCTTCTTGAGAAACAGTGGTTGAGATTTGCTCAGTTGTTGATGATTCTGCGAAGAAGAATTCTTCTTTAGAGATGTTGGGTTGTGGCTGGATGCCATTTGTGGGAGATCCCTTGGTAAATTTTCCTGAACCATGTGAAATATCCGACACTGATTTCCCTTGAGACCCGAAAACCGACACCAGTAACAGCATTAACAACACTTGATTCATTGCGCTATTGTGAGCTTGCCATTGCACTTGAGCAAAGATAAGTCAGTCAATTTGCGTAATCCTTGTCTATGCACAATACGATAACAAGTGGAACATGGAATTGTTGCTTGAGAAGTTTAACATCACTTTATTTCAGTCAGACAACTATTATAGTCAGTATCACTTTACTGCAGTCAGACAAATTTGAATAATATCCCCGTGACACGATAAATAAAACGAATTATCTTGTAACAGGGTAGGTTTACAAGTTTCTAAAGGAAGAAGTAATCGAAAAGCGCATTTTGTGTACGAATGGCTCTTACGAATTTTTACAAAGCACGCAACAATGCAAGGCTCACTATTTTCATAAAAAATTTCAACGTAAGCAAATGAGGTTTATTCGATTGATTGCACAAATAAGTTACGATTCAAAGATACGCGAACAAATGACATTAAATTCGATTTGTAAACGCGTAAATAAATTGAAATCGATTTAATTCAAAGATGCGCGAATAAATTGTGATCGTTTCGAAAATGCGCCACCAAAAACTTTATAGTTATTCGGCCGCAAGGTGCACGAACAAATTATGATCGATACGATTCGAATTGGCGCGAAACCAATAGGTTTCCAATCATTTTCGATTGAAAGCTTGCATCGAACTGCACGCGGCACGGTCCGCGTGGCCTAATTTATATTTTCCAGTGGATCGGAAAGGCAGCAGTAGGGTCTGAAGTGTCGTTGTTCACGGGACCGTGCAGTGCCGAACACAGAACGGTTCTGTCACTCTCGATTGAGCCTCTCGGTGGATCGTTTCATTGGAAAGGGAATAAAGAAATCCGTGAGCAGCCTAGTTCGCGCACGACGCATTAATTGCATCAACGCTTTTTACTGAACCACTTTCTGCGGATTCGCTAATTTGTTCTAAATTCTTGCTCCTTCTATCTCGATCACACGACACGCTTTATTTCACTTTTTCAGAAACTTTCGAAGCTGAGATCAAACTGCAAAGAACGAGAAGAATTATGAAAATTAGTTAGAGAATTCCTTTCTGAGAATTCTATTTGTTTGAAATTTCTTGTTTGAAATTGTATAACTATATATATAATGCATGCAATATTGCATAATGCAAATATATATAGTTATACGATATATAAAATATATAAAATTAGAGATTTCTTTCTAAGAGTTCTATTTGTTTGAAATTTCTTTACAAATATATAATAAATTGCATTCAGATGTTTCGTTTCTTCGTGTTAGAAGATCGTCGTGCTAAAGACATATTTCCCGTTACTTCTCAGTTTCAATATAATAACTGCAATCTTAAAACGGTACATGAGAAAACGTAATTATCCATCACACAATAGTATTCGTTTAATGGGACAGCCTCATTTGCTGCTTGTTTAATTGGTACTCTATGTAATAATCTTTTAATTCAGTGATTGATATCCGTAGAACCGTTGAATAAATTGTTCCCAGCGATTATTACGCGAAATCTTGAACTCCATCGAACGTCAACGTTGATGTATTTATTAATCTTTGGAGGTTACAGATCATTCTTTGAGATTCAAATCCCAAGGATTTAATTCTGAAATTTATAGAGTTATATTAATAATTAAGGGGCTCATATACAGAACAATGTTAAATTTTCCAATTCTTTTAGATAAGAATGCATTCTATCAGTCAGACGCTAGATTCACAGCAATACGATGTATATCTTGACATATGTTTGGCTTCCTCCGTAGAAGGCAAAGATTGACAGGGATTTTGTAATCTTGCTACGACCATCAAATTTTAATATCCGGATCTTGTTCTCATTCTAGCAAACAAAAAGAATTTGTAACGTTTTAAGATATTCTGTAACGTTACAAAAATACAATTAGATTTTTGCTATGAAAATTATACGAAATATGGAAATTTCAATTTGTTTATTTTGATTCGCTCCTTTAATAATAAAGATTGAAGATGATTCGGTGGAACCCACGAGCCATGGGAAAGGAGTGGATCTTTGATTCTAGCTTCGGCAGCGTTTCTAGAATTAGCGGCTCTCGATAATGTTTCATCCGGAGGTAGCGATGCGAAGAAAACTGTGGCTCGGGCGACACGCTTCGCGGCTCGACGCGGAAAGGCTCAGTGTAATTGCCTCGCCAGAAACTTGGCAAGCGAAACAAACGATTTACACACGAGTGAGCTAAGCAAAACGCTCGGTGCTCTTGACTGTGGATAGTCAGCCGCAGCTTAAGCCGCGTTAACGCTATCGTAATGGATAAGTCGACAGGAAGTTTGGACAATAGAATGGTTTCGTATTCCCTATGTGTGGTGAAAGATCCATGAAATATAATAGAAATGGAGGATTCATATCTCCGATTATTATATTACATATTTTTAATGTATTTCAACTTGAATATTGTTAAATATTATTGCAAGAGATTACTTAATTTAATCTCAGAATATTTATTCAAGAGTTCATTAATAAAATATTATCAAATATAACAGAAACAGTGTCTATATTATGTTGTTTACATATTTTATTATATTTATATAACGTGTTAAAAGATATTTCTACAGTTTGGCGTAAATTTGATGAATTTAAAAATACGATATTCATATTTTTCTTTAATTTCAAATGCTTATGTATCATACTGTGTTGATGAATATGCCAGTTTAATGGATCACGATTATGAAGTAGTAACGATTCGATTGACAAGTAGCTATTTAGTAAGACAATTGAAGAATTGAGAAATGTGGAATAAGAAATGGAACTGTTTAGAAACAGCGTCTTTGTTAGTAGAGAATGTGCAATATTAAGAACAAGAAACTATCATTGAGTCGCTGTTGCATTATTTATTTAATGATTCGCGAAACACATATATCCAACTAGCGATATTTTATAATAGACGTTATATTAACGATGATTTATAAATAATACACGTACAGAATAATAAATATATAAAAATTCGCGCGACGCTGCTTAATTGCAACGTATTTGCAATTGCACCTGCCCAACTGTATGATTGTAATACTCCTATAGGCGTTAAACATTCACTACCGTTATACTAATCGTAAGTATTGCGTCAGTACCCTCACTTTAATTTATTTTTCTATATATGATCATAAAATATAAACTCAAAGGATGAATCACATATTGCAATTGTATTCGACATTTTCATTTCTTAAATGTCATATTTTTGTCATGATAAATCATGTTTCACGTAACGCATCATAAAAACGATTTATTAATCGAAATTGGAGGACACCAACGAATACAAGCGAGTAGAGAAAATAAACTATGACACTAACAATAAGTCGAATTGTAGTATCTACTTCCGATGTATATATTTATTATATATATAATACTTTCGTTTTTGCAAGGTTGATTAACGTTAAAACACGACGAACATCCGACAATTTTAATTTCTTACAAAAGAAAGAAACGATCAGGTACTCCGAAAAGAAGCAAAATTACGCTCAAGATGCAATCAAAGGTTTCCACGAATTGGAATCGTTTTGGTCCGATGTCGAAGAATCTTCAGACGATTGTAACATCATTGCTTCTGGTCTGAAAAAGTCGATAATCGGGTGGTAATTATAATTGATTCGCCTCTGCGGTTCTTGGTACTCGTCGTCGAAACCACCATTTTGTAGCCTTGACGTTGCGTCCATTTGCAAATCGTATGGTTGACTGTATCTGTGTAATTCCAAATTTATTTAATTCAACGTCCAAACATCTATAGGTTTTACATCCTTAAATTTAAATAAAAAATTCATTTAAATTCAATTCTAGATTTTTCATATTTAATGCAATATTTAAAATTTAAATTGTTATTACTTCCAAGTAATAAAAAATTGCAAATTTCGGATTTTTACATTTTAAATAATTCAAAATTCCAGGTTAAAAAATATAAACTTTAAATAATTCAAATTTAATTCCAAATTTCTGATTTTTTAATTTAAAACGTAAGATTCCTGACTTTATGTCATGATACGTAAGTTCATTGATGGTTACCTATTTAAAATCGTACTGTTCGCAGTCTCGGTTTGTTCCTCAACATGAGATGTGGATTCTCTTCTATATGGTGGTCTATTGGGTCTACTTGGTCTAGAACCTTTCAGTAATGGTCCAGTATATCCTGGTGCTCTAGTATTCGGTGCGTGTTGCTGAGGCAATTTATCAAATGGCCTTGAACTTGTAGACGAAGGTTTCTTTGGTCTTGTTCTTACAGGTAGAATAAACGGCGGTCTACTAGGGGTAGTTTCTACTGTAGGTTTTTTATTGCTTGCACCTGCAAGGTTTCAGAAATTTGTCCCACATTTTCACCTGGTTTTATCTTTCAAATTCTTTCACGATAAATAAAAAGAATGTTATATCTTTGATCAATTTACATACCAAGAGATGAATCGAAAGGGAACTTGTTTAAATAATTTAATTTCGGAGACTCTTCAAAGTCATCTTTTTGATCGCTGGTGGCGAAGTCAGATCCAGGAAACGATTCTTTAATTCTGAGTGATGGGTCCTTTTGATGAGGTGGAAAAATATCAGCGTAACCGTGCACATGGCAACTACAGCAAGATGGAACTTTGAAAATATCCATGTGAAGACCCAATTTATTATCCCAGGTTAAAAGTCTATGGTAATTGTACACTTGCATGCAAGAAGATCGATAGTTCTCTGATATGAAAGAGCAGCTCGACTGGGGGTTTCTGAAAGCGAAATTTAACGTCAGAGTGTACAATTATAAAAAAATTCGAATAATTTTTTCCTGGAAATTTTCTTCTACAGTATTTCAATTTGCCTTGTTAACGTGGTAAAGTATCATTCTCTTATTTTCAAGGAATATTCAGCTTCAATACCACAAAGAAGATATTTTGCTCATTGATTTGTAACAAAGTATCGAATTTCGATTTCTATCGCGAGAGAAGATCCTCCGCTAAATTTTACTGGGAAAGTGTTAACCGAATCAGTTGCATTCAACTACAAAAATAAATCATTGGAACGAACGATCGAGGTAAACGGAATTGCCTTTTAAACCGAGCAGGAAATCTCAGCTTTAACCGTGGCTAAAAGACAATCTTGAGCGTAAAATAGAAGGAACGTTCTGGTAGATTGCTGGATTTTATGTAACGCTTGATGCGAATTAATTGCGATTGTCTTTTACTTACGAGCATTTCTCCATTCGTAGAGTTTGCGTGTGTTCACCGGTGTTTATTATGTATTTCCAAATACCGGAAGCGGCTCTAGCTAGTTGTGGTCGTGCATATTTGATGACGGATGGACACGTGAAACCTTCTTCGACATTTTCAAATGATGAACTTGCATCGGATCTTCTAAGATAAATTGATATGAAATTGACACGAATTAATTTAATAGAATAGAAAATAATCTTACAGGAAAAATGATTGTGATTTATAAAAAGAAAACTTCGATAGATATTATGATTCAGTGTAAAATGTATATAATCCTGTATCATGATACCACGCGTTGCTACAAAGCATCGCTGTTGGCCCCAGTTGCCATTCAACAGGAGCACAACAGAACTAAACCTTTTATTCGACTCATTTCTTAACCAGAAATTCCTATAATTATAGAATTACGAGTTAACAAAGACGAATTCTAGTTAGATAAATTTTAGTTATACAGTATAAATCTGACATAATTTATTTTAAATGAAGTTGAATATAAAACAACGGGTAAAAGTTGGGATCTATAAATGAAAGAATTGTTATATTCAAATGAGAAATTAATTCGTCTTCCCCAATTGAAAAATTAATAATTATTATAAGTCTACGAGTCTCACCTCCTAATTTCATTACTCTCGTATCGATTCTCATATTTATTTTCCAGGGGCAATGCAATCGGAAGACTTTCAGCAGATTCGTCAAAATCTTGCGACTTGTAATCAGTCAACAATGCAGCGACCATCTCCTTGTTGCCTCTCAGACTCCTCGTAATCGCCTCGCTAAGAAAATTTCATTCTATTTAAATCCACGTAATAATAAACATAATAATAAATTCAATGAGGATTATTATTCTTCTAATTTAATTCGTAACAACTTTCTCACAATTCAACGAAATCATGAGAACAAATGGAAGAAAGGAAACGAAAGTTTTGACAATTGCTTCCACGACTTCCTTCCCTATCTGGATACCCATAATTCCTAATTAAAAAAACAACTTATGGTTATGGTTATGAGAAAACGGAGGTCGAATAAGCATTGCGCAATGAACAATTCGAACGTGGAATCGTAGAAAAGCGAGCGCACTTTCTTTTAGTTAAACGAGCCTGCGAATTGTCTTTACTATCGTGAAACGACGTTTTAATTAACGTTAATCCCTGTTCATCAGAGAAAGTTCAATTTAAATGCGAGACACTGAATTAGTTGCGTAATTGTTGCAACTTGTTGGAGGGAAGAGAGGAAAAAAGAGAAGAAAAATAGTAATACATGAAACTTACTGTGGGTAATCAGCTATTTCGAGACAAACTGTCTTCGTGAAGAAAGTACATTCTTTTTCTGTTGGATCTCGTTTTACTTCTGTGGGCCGTCTCGGTGGTCTTATTAGTGGTGTTCTCGATAGATCTGGAAAGTAATTATTATAGATCGATTTTGTTATATGATTGATAGACTGAAAATTTCTATGCATTTATGGTAAAATACACAAGATAAAACATTCATTAAAATTAGATTAAGAATGTTTATGTAAATTCATATTTTTACGAATAGAAAAGAAATGAAACCATACTATGAAGTTATATTGTGGCTATTTTATATATTTTTGTATATCATGCTTATTTTTACATCTTCCCGTAAATTTCCCGTAAATACACAAGAAATACAGATTTATATTTTTTCGAGCTGAGAAGAAACAGAACCTCAGAGACTTGTTCCTTTCTTAAATATTGTAACAAGTACTATAAATATTTTATATACGTATTCTGTGCATTTCTGCATTTTCAAATTCTCAATAAACGCTCGAACATTGTCTAATTATAATATTTAGTAACTGAAACAAAATAAATTTACATAAACATACGCAGTCTATTACGTAATATGGAACGTATTAAACAAAAAGTTTCATGCAATATCCTGTCCGAAATTTGTTAGGACTAAATATAGAATAAAAGTATGAAAAATAACCTGCATAGACATTCCTTCGATTTAGAGAAGTTGGTCTTCTTGGAGGAGGTCGATAACCAGGTCGTTTCCGCAGGTTGGGTCTTATAATTCTCAATTCTTGTGGCTGTAATAAAAAGAGAAAAAGAAAACTTATCATAATCAGTGAACTCTGATACAGGCTATTTAAGCTATTTCTTTATCTCGTCAGTAGTAAACGAACATGTATTCCTTTAGAAAATTCTATTTATCGGTCGAGAAATCTTAATTACACATAATTAACAATATATGTTCCTCGAGCGTCTGTTAGCCATTTTAGCCTGGTTGCTAATTAGTATTCAGTAAGGAAGGTTTCGCGGCATCCTTTGAGAAATTTACATACATAGTTTTGCCCGAGATCCTCTGAAAATTACGACTGGTAATATAATAAACACACCAATTAGAAACTCGTGAAAGTAATCGCGGAAAAAATATATGTTGTCATCAAAAAGAAAAGCATTTTCTTGGAAATTATCACGTTTCAAGTTTTTATGTTTTAACCTTTTAATTTAGATTTATACAGGGTGGTTGGTAACTGATGGTACAAGCGGTAAGGGGGTGATTCTACGCGAAAAAAGAAGTCGAAAATATAGAATAAAAATTTTTCGTTTGAGGCTTTATTTTCGAGAAAATCGACTTTGAATTTTCGCTTGGTACACGTGCACTTTATCACGTCTCGTTACAACGGATCTCACTGTAGATCGTTGTCTCGATGGAAAAATTAAAAAAAAATTTTTATTCTATACTTTCGACTTCTTTTTTCGCGTAGAATCGCCCCCTTTCCGCTTGTACCACCAATTACCAACCACCCTGTATATTTCTAAAGATTTATAGAAGATTTTTTCAAAAATTTATGCATATTGTACAAATGACAATGTTTAAAGAAGGAAAGGATAAAGGATATCATTTTAGAAATCCCTGTACTAACAAACCTGTTTTACACAGATCTTTGCGCGTAATGTTACGAACAGAAAGTTGAAGTCCGAAAATACAATAATTGCACGGAATAGCGGCTACATATGACAAAATTGTACATTTCGATATGATTTACGATAGAAAGGAGTTCCAAGTATGACTTTCTAGGAATTTTTCTTGTAACGAGGTAAAGAGCCATCAATCTTTCATTTGAATACAATAATATTGGACCCAGAACATCGTATTTACTGGGAAATGCAAAGCGATTCAGAAGTTGCTTCTTTAGCGTTCGTCAAACCTTGTACAACCATAAAAGTGATTGAAGTTAAATCGATGCCTGCTATTTGGTATTTATGGGTTATGCAGTATAATTTACTTTCCTATATTAGGTATAGAAACGTGCCAGGATGAATAAATACATAAAAGTGATTGCCAATAGAAGTAAGCTTTGCAATCATCACGACGTGACGTCATCCTCGATCGGAACAGGGTCAACTTTACAATACAAAAAGGGTATCGAGGATGAGCTAACAATCCTTTATAATTTTATTAAGTGATACTATTCTTTTTTGAGTCACTCGCGTTAGTTTTTTCTTAGATGGTTATTTTTTCATATACCTTATTCTTTTCCCAATTTCGTTCTTTTTTCTACAAACGAAAGGATACTTAATGTTTGAAGAAATAAATTTAACATATACTTAAAACGAAAAATCATGTATATTAAGAATGAAACAAATCTTGAATATTTTCTATAAATCTAAGAAATTTTGCAACAATAGAGAGAAACGTCTGAATACAAAATGATTTAACAGACGTAATGGTGTTAAACGAATAATTTATATAAAATATATTTATATCATCAAAATACTAAATAATTGACAACAGAATAGCATAATTTGTTCTTTTTATCGCTTACCTCAGGCAATTCTTCCAATCCTTCCTCATCACCAGTAGGATCATCGGATATGACCTTCGCGATGTCAGCGCTTTTCGGTAGCATGAGTTCCCTGCTGGCATTTTGTCGACTTCCATTACTCAATAGTGCACGAACTTTTTCCAATTGCTGTTGAGAATTATAATAAATGAGAAAATAATCGTGATTGACCTTTACAAAAAATATGCAACTTTCACAAATCAAATTGATCAACTATCCAAATACAGGACTACTTTCCATTTTGAAATTTTTCCATGTTGATCAATGTGGCTTCTGAATAACTTATGCTTGACACATTCTAATATTGCTTTCCAGTTTCTCTAAAAATTTTGTAAATCAGCAAGCCAAGAAAAGGAAGAATGCTTCGAAAAGCAACTATAATACATTTATAACTTTACATGGCAGAAGCAATTTACGGAATGTAATGTATGTCTTAATAAATTTATAATTGTCAAAGTATAGTTTTTCCGAAACACATACGGATGTGCACGTATTACAAGGTGTGTTTCATGCAGGTCTGTTTTCGTGTTCTCATCAACGCTAATACGTTAACGATATGTTTAGCTCGTTAAATTAACAGCAGTTAACCCGACTAACACGGCGTGTAAGCGTTATTTAAGTAAATAGAAACTTCTTTCACTCACACTCTCCCGTAATTTATCTGTCCTGTTCTTGAATGCTACGTCGTTGATCTTGATGGACGTGACCGTCGTCTCGTTGTTTTCTTTATGATCGTTGAGATTCACGTCGTCTTTCAAATCCTTCTCAACGCTGACGTCGATCGAGGACAGTAGCACGACTGCCTAGAGAGTGAAACGAACCCCGTGTATTCGCGTAAACTTATTATTACCGCCGAAAATTCTGGGTCAGCGAGATCTCAACTCAGACACGCTTATTCTTCATTTATTCTCGACGAATCTTCTTCAACTATTAATCATATTTTCACTTTGTAAGGTAAAACGTATTTTCTATAATTCGACCTCGAATTCGCTTTCGTTCGTGCGATATTTAAATGATTAGATGCAGAAAGTTTCCAAGAAGAGAAGAAATAACGTTCTAAAAATTTTTGTAAATTTTAAAAGAAGAAGTTTGAGAAAAGAAAGTGCTTTGAAAGAAAGTTTAAACGTACGAGGAGTTATATTTAGATTGGAAATATTTTAAAGAAAGATTTAAACCTATTAATTCCTGTTATATTTCTTTTTTAATTCATGGTATTCTAAAGTTACATTTTAAAATGTCACGCAGATGTCTGTACAATAAATGTACAGTTTCAATTAGTTTGATTATTGCCATTCACCAATTTACTCCACAGATAGTCACACATATGAATATTAATCGAAATACTAAACCACAGTTAGTAGAAATGTCCATATTAATAGTCCTTACGAGGATATCGGATACTCATACACCAGGTAGACAAATAAGTACTGTTAATAATAATTCCTTGATTCGATGTAAAATTCGATATCTTGAGCTAGCTATCGAATTATCAATGACTTATTGTCATCTTCGAATATCTGATTAATTATCCCTCCTTCGTTTCCACACAAAATATTAAACTTAATTTAATAAATTTTATATTTCATATAAGAACAATCCTTTTCCTTTATCCAAATAATTACGATTCGCTAGATTCTGTTAAATAGACAAAACAGAAAATCATCGTCCAGGAACACGTTCATTGACTTCTATTCTCTTTAAATAGATTTAATTCAACGACTTCTACATTGTCCATAAATTCTTCCCTTTATTTCAATAAATTATTTCAAGGAATTGTGCACCTTCTACAGAAGCTTCGTTTTACATTATCTAAATAATTATGATTCAATAAATTCTTTTAAACAAAGAAAGCAGACATTCCCCCTTTAAAACCACGTATACATATTTCCATTTAATTTACTATAAATAAATTTAATTCAGCAAATTTCATATTCTCTGTAGAATATTCCTCTTCTATAGATCTAATAAATTCTATATTATTCAAATTTGTATTTTTCATGGAAACTTCCTCTTCCTTTAATTAAACAATTATAATTCAATAAATTCTTAGACTATGCAAGCAGACATTGCTTCTTTCAGGAACACGTATACCGTCTTCCGTTTTTTCTTTTTTTTTTTTGTTTCTCGCTGAGACAGTACAGTTTATCGCCTAGACGATCTTTTATTCGAAACAAATCCTTTCCCTTTCATAATCGTAACAACGATAGGATTTCCCGGCGGATACAATAGCACAATTCTTCTATTATGATTGCGGGAATTGATCGCTAGGGAAACGTTGTACGGGCGAGCTTCTCGTTTCTGTGGGTCTGGATATCACGGAAGAAATCTTTGGCGCGTGGTGGAAGCGCGAGCCATAGAGAAACGTTAATTTCGTTTACGTTGCAGCGGAAGTGGCGTTGTAAAGTGACGGCGCGTAACGCGTCGTGAAATCGTCGTGAAAACACGACCGAGTGGATTTAACGACACGGACCACGTGTCGGTCCGGTGAAATTATGTGATTTTTTCTCCGGACGACGCCAGTCTAGGAAATGATAAAAAATGCACATAGATACAACACGCTCGCAATTCGCGGGTGAAAGTCACGTTGTTCCGCATCCATGATTAGTTTCGAGCAAACGCAACTGCCGGTGTGTGCAGTCGCATGCACGGATTTTTCTGCGATTGGGAGATTGAACGAAAGTTTCTATTGAACAGCGTTCACGCGCCATAGTTGCATCGAGTAAAATGTAAATCATGCGATCGATGACGAGCGTAGTGGTCAAGATAATGAATTCATTTATTACGTTTACCTGGTTTCTCTGTTTCAATTTAAATGAATGGTTGTGTAACTTTCACCCCGATGCAGGATCTTGAACAGAAGGGTACTTTCTAAAATATGAATTTCTTAATGATATCGAAGCGCTATAATCTTGTTTTATATTTCAGTGTTTCTATCTTAGAGTTATCCTAAATTGGGGACAAAATCGATAAGATCTAGCCTAAGATGGATCTACGATTGTTTGAGTGGAGTCGGTATATTTCTGAGAATTTAATAATCTCCCGCTCTTACTTTGAGCCGTCTAACAGGATATATCACTTAAGTATAACACGTCAATTTTAATGAAATTTACATGAGATAATTCCTAGAAAGATATTTGACACATATTGTTTTTTTCTAAGGGGTAAAATCAGTTTTTGAATACAAACAAAAATGGTTTGGACAAGAGTCGTGAATTTTTAATGGCAAATTTTGCTACATAGACAATTTTTCAAAATATTTAATAATTTATGTACAATACATATAATAAATTATTAAGTGTGATTCAATTCTATTATATTTCAAATATGTATATATGCATTTTCATCCTTGTTCATACAAATTATTTATTAAACTCATTCCAGTTTATTCTACATTATTTAACCATTAACTTTATGCTAATTGTTATTAAACTTTGCTAATTACAATTTGACTTCACGAAGTAATTATTAACGACAGCTGTACAGTTGATTTCTTTCTTATCAAATTAAGTTAGATACTATCGTATCATAGGTGGTCTCGTAGCTACGGAAAGCTGTAACTGGCTACTTTGTGATCTGTCTGACGTCGAGTTTAGCATAGCCAAAGGCGACATTCTGTCACACCACTTAACGATATCCTTGGACTGTGTATCTCAGTTTCCACTAACGCCACCCTTATCAGTTACAACACTGTTATCGCATTGTTATCGTTTCAATAAATTATTATTCCCATTGTTCCATCCCTATGGGACGTTTCTCGAGTTTCTAGTTCTAACACGGACTACAATGTGTTCGAGATTTCCTAACATAGAAAGATAAGAGAAATGCGAATACGAAGTGTTTGTGTTAATGTTGCCATTGCAGGAAATGGTCGATGTAACAACACGTGTGGAGACTTGACAGTATTATGCCACGTGAAATAACCATAAACGTGGAAATTCCAACATATCCTCTGCTGTTTGCAATGAGCGCTGACCTAGTAACCATGATGCTCAGCAGAAGGAAGAGCTACGATTTCACTGAGTGATCCTTTTTTCTTTTTATATCGCGGGTGTTCATCAATTCTTAGCCAATAACGTACGATTTTTCAGGATATTTTGTAACATTGTTGTACGATTATTTGTTTAAAACACGTGTAACATTTCCTGGTGTTTTGTTACTCGATTAATATCGATTTCTGGTGATCTTTCTTTTTACTTCTTCGTAGTCTTCCGAATGGAGGACTAAATATCGTGTGTATATGTATATTATATATACGTAATTATATATAAATAAAATCTGTACATGGATTCGTCTTTTTGTTTTATAAAATATTATTTCTGTAATATTATATCGTATTAGGTTGAGTAATTAATTCATTTACATTTTCTCAAAACGTCGAATGTCGACGTTAATGTACGTCGAGTGTAATTACTTTGATATAAAATCTATTCTTTTTAAAAATGTAAATTTTCATAAAAATCCACAATCGGCGCTTGTGAATTCCGTTCGCCTGTAATTAGCTGAGAAATCAACAACTTTCGAATACCATATTATATTATAATGAGTCACAAATTTTGAAGGAGCCTCATTTAAATGCTTGAAACGTTAATACCTCTCGTGTGAATGGAAAAAATACAACAATACGACAGGCTTTCTACCAATACATGTAGCAGCTTCTTTTTATAACATTTCCTTCGTACACGATGTTTTTTCTTTCTCGTTACGAATATCGACGTGGTTAAATTCCTCGAGTTACAAAACTTTCATGAAACATTTCATAAGGTAAAACATTTCACCTTAGATTATTATCGAGAACTTTCACCGTACTTATCGTCCTAAGAAGATATACACTTGTTGCAAATTATAAGCCGGTACGTCGATATCATTGATTTATTCCGACGTATCAAATCAAAAGATCTGTTCAGTGAAATTTAATACGTAATTATAATTACGGTTCAAAGGAATTACTTGTAATTTTAAAGATGGAGGATCTTTCACAAATCAGGTAGTGCCGTAATCACATCATTGATTTGTTCAAATAATGATATATTTAAGAAAATCTTTGATTTCAAGATGCCTGCAAAAATTAACTTCGATAATGAATTATTTGATTATGAATTATTTTACAACATAAATTATTCTATTTTTATCTTTATTTGTATATATATATTACAATCTAACATTTTCAAGAATAGTGTCAATATTTTACTTAATAGAATAATAAAATATTAATAATGAAGTTATACTATTTAATAAAAAGAAGGTCGCAATTAGAAAACAGCCTTCCTGTAATAATAAGCAATACATATAACAAATGTTTTATTACTGATCCTTAAAAGCCAGAGACCATTATCTGAATCATAATTGAGCAAAAATTTGTCATTATAAAATGCTCAGGTAATTAATAATTTTCTTTCTGAGATTGAGTTCTAGAAAAAATTTACTCCTCTTGACTGTCCCATTCTTTTACTGAACAATGATGTACATAATTTGTAAAATACAGTTTTAAATACATATTTTAAATATACTAATATCTATACCATTTACAACACTACACAACTTATCTTCGCTTTGAAGATCAATAGATCGTACGTTAATCTGTTAAATCAAACTTTCAAAGAACCATCTCATTCGAGAATTTTACAAAGATCAGTTAAAGGTAACTAACGTGAGTTACAATATACGTAAATTATATCGCATGATAGGTGATTTCGTCAATCAGAAACGAACAGGAACTGATGACGAAGCACGCACATTGAGCTATCTATCGAACAACCTAATTCTCAGGGTCCAACAAGGGAGAAACCGAAGGAATAAGCAAACTGATCGATTAAATACGATAAAAGGAATTGCCTCTATTGATAAAAAAAAAAAAAGAAACACGCGAGTAGTTGCACGTTCTGCCAACGATCTTATATTTGTAATCGTCGATAAATCTTTCACTCGCCAGCACGTGAGAGGGAACTCATAGCAATTAAGGGAATCTATTTACTTTTCCTGATTCCGTCAGGTTACCGGATCAAGGCCATGCAAAGGTTGTTCCACTTTACGCGAAGAGAACCACAGGCGCAGAGTGTTAGTCATCCGTTCTTCACGAAAATACGGAAACTTCTTTCGAGTTCCTAACGACGAACTTAGGAATGTTTGGTTGAACATGTTACATATCAGTGATGTGACGTTTCATATTTCGTGTTTCATCGTTAGGAACTAATTAACGGGATACCTTACGGTTTATATACGTATATAAACGTGATATATATATGTATTAATCAAGAACAATTACTTCGAAGATTGCCTTCTGGTAATTATTAATTATCTCTGTACATATTAATTGTCGATCGATACGAAGATGTTACAATATAGCTTCGTATGTGTCATTTTTATCTTTATTG